ATATGCCAGGGGTAAGTCCATGCATCTTTATGGGGTATATGCCAGGGTAAGTCCATGTATCTTTATGGAGTATATGCCAGGGGTAAGTCCATGCACCTTTTTGAAAAGATAAATTCTTTTAAAAAATAAGTTGAGGTTGCCGGGCGGTAGTGGCTCACGCCTTTAATTCTGGTACTTGGGAGGCAGAGGCTGGCAGATCTCCGAGTTTGAGGCCAGACTAGTCTACAAAGTGAGTTCCAGGACAACCAGGGCTACACTGTCAAAACAAAAAAAAAATTAGTTGAGGAGAATTTAGTTCAGCCCTTTTGATCTGCTGTGTCAGAGATGAAATTTTGAACCTGATGTGGTGATGTTAGGAGACGTAGGATGTCTGGTGATTCCACTGTAGCCGTGCAGATTGCTCACAAGAGGAGAATAGTCATGGTTTGACTCATTATTATAAAATTTTATTATTTTTTCTGTAGCCAAATAGGAATATTCAATTCATTTTTAAACATATTTCAAGATGGTAATTACTCATTAAGAGGTGCCTTCTGCCAGGCATAATAACATATATCTGTGATCCCAGCAGTCAAGAGGTAGAGGTAGAAGGATTTCAAGTTCAAGGTCAATCTAGACTTGACCAAAGTCTTCACTCTTCTTCCATATACATTTTTTCTACTTTTAACTCTTAATATTATAAATATATACACAGAGGAATGTTTCCTGTATTTTTACATGTTATCAGTTCAATTAAATAAAGACTTTTGAAATTTAGAAAAAAAAATAACTTTACAAAAAACCCAAATAAAAGAAAATGTATCCAGGCAGTGGTTGTGTACGCCTTTAATCTCAGCACTTGGGAGACAGAGGCAGGTGGATCTCTATGAGTCTGAGGCCAGCCTGGTCTACAGAGTGAGTTCTAGGACAGCCAAGGCAGTTACATGGAGAAACCCTATCTCCAAAAAAAACAATAACAAAAAGGGTGGGGGAGAAAAATATATTCTCATAATTTATTAGAGTAAGTTAGGGAAAAGATGTTTGATTCATGGGGCTTTGTGGAAGTAGATAGCCAGAATTACATGTTGATGGTACAAGGTTGCCATCTGAGCTTATAGATCAACCAGGACCTGGTAGTGCCGTTGTTGGCCATCAGTGTTAGGCACAGAGTAGCAGTTTACTCTCACCATTATGCATAGCTCTTTATCATGACCCCATTGCTACTTACTGGATTTATTTGCTACTACTTTAATGTTTTCAAATATTCTATTTCCTGTGTAACTTGGCGTAAACATTATTTTTTTTGGAAAACAAATTGGGGTTTTATTAAGGTCCTGCAAATATGGAAGACTTGTAATTTGTTAATTTCCAAGAGATTAGTTCAACATAAATAATCTGAAAGAAGAGAAACTCTGTATATTTATTTACTAAGAATTCTTGCCCTTTCTACTTAGAGCTCCTAGCCATGAAGTAGGATTCTCTAAAAATAAAAAGATTTAGTAGCAATTTTTGTTTTAAACAGAATATTTAGTTGTTTTCTTTTTTCCTAGGGTTCAATTAAGGACCAACTAAAAGCATATGGAGCTCTTACTGAGAATGTGACTAGAAAATACACCCGTCAGATTCTGGAGGGAGTTCATTATTTGCACAGTAATATGATTGTCCATAGAGATATCAAAGGTAAGTCATGAATTACTTTTTACTTTAAGTACACAGTTTTGTGTGAGTGAGAATGAAGAAATACCATCAAAGCATTGGACATTTACACTGTAAACTGCCATAAGGAAACAGTTTTCCAGCTTTCTCACGGACTTCGTTAGTGTCCTGTCAGACCAGTTCTCAAGTTGGAACCTAAATGAACGATTAGCTTCAGTGTAAGGATCCATAGACTCAGTCTCATTTAAACATCCTAGAATAATATAACCATGTTTGTAAGTGTATTTCCTAGGCATTAGGGCAATGAGCTGGGGTTAGGCTGTCACAGAGTTGGATTCAAACTTGGGCTTCATTTGCTTTTAACTGTAACCTTGGACATGTTAATCTTTCTGTATCTTCAGTCCTCATTACTCTTTCCATCCTCCTCTCTCTTTCATCCTCCCTCGTTTTCTTCCCTCCTCATGACACACACCGTAATTTCTGGAAATGGAATCTAGGAAACTGCATATAGGCAAGGTTTCTACCCCTGAGATGCACCCACTGTCTTCTCTTTTACTTATTCTTAAGTTAGAGTCATAATAGTACTCAATTTATAGGATTCTTAAAAGAATCTAATGCACTAACATGTTGTAATGTTTAAAACAATGCCTGGAGCTCAGCACTTAAAACCTAGCTACTGTGATGACATACTGTATGTTGTAATTATATTTAAAGTCATGGGAATAGATGTCATGAAAGAATAAAGAGGAAGAAAGGAAAGATCCCAAGAATGAGCTTTCCTCCCTAGGGTCAGATACAGAAATAAGTACATGAAGTGAGTTAATGGTAGAGATGTGTAAAATTTGAGAGTGTTAAAAACTGTTTACTTTGGAGCCTACATGAGTCTTTAAAAACTGGGGTATGACCCAAAATTTAGAAAATCACTGAGTAAAAAAAGTAAGTATGTCTGTATAATATTTACTCATTGATCTTGTTGTCCCTTTTATAAGTTCCAAACTTCTGCTTTTCCATATGGTGGGGGCACATTTTAACTGTGTCCAGATTAGGCCAAGAAGAAAATTGCCAATCATTTCTGGTAATTTAACAGGAATTTCTAGTATGAGTCTAGTATGCAGAATTCCTGAGGCAGATCACATGCACTAGAGGGGGGCTTATTAAGTATGAAGATTGATAGCTTAAAGAACTTCCTAAAGAAATTATTCAATGAGGAATAACTGTTTCTAGACAAGCCAACTTCTCTTTGGCCCTCAAAATGAAGTGAGAAAAGAAACAGAGGCAGCCATCTTCTATATAGATCAATATTTTTCTATTCTTATCAGAAAGTATGACAAACCACTTTGGTCAAGTGAAGGGAGATGGAGGCAAGCTGATATATAAATATTATCAGACAAATATATTGGTAAAGGAGAAAAATAAGATAGAAAAATAGGCATCAAATTTGTAAATTTAAGTGTGGTAGGAGGAAAATAAGGGCCACCAAATGGCAACATAGTAGTATATGTTTTATACAGTATACTTTTTACTTGTTCTGTCTTCTATTTTTCATAAACAATTTATAAGTGGCAAAAGGAAAAGTAAAGGGGGCTGGAGAGCTGACTCAGTGGTTAAGAGCTTGAGTTCAATTCCCAGCAACCACATGGTGGCTCACAACCATCTGTAATGAGATCTGGCGCCCTCCTCTGGCGTGCGGGCATACGTGGAGGCAGAATATTGTATACATAATAAATAAATAAATCTTTTTAAAAAATAGAAAAAAGAAAAAGTAAAGATAATTGATTTCGTGTAATTTCAGAGCTGATGTATCATAAAAAAGATGAAAACGATTACTGTTTGGGAACTCACTCTTTTCCAAAATTTATTCCCTCCATTCTTCCTCTCCTTTCCTCTCCCTCTCCTTCCTTCTTCCCCCTCTAAATTGATCACATTTTATTTGTGTGTGTGTGCATATGCATGCTAGTGCCATAGAGCGTGCACAACACGCAGAGAACAACTTGAAGGAGTTGGTTCTCTTCTTCCACCTTGTACATCATGGCTTTTACTCACTGAGCCATCTCTCTGGCCCTATTCTTTATCTTTTTTTTTTCTTTCAGGGAACTATACTGTTGACAGGCTTGGTGGTGCATGCCTTTAATTACAGCAGAGGCAGATGCATGTGGATCTCTATGAGTTCAAAGCCAACTGGGTTTGGGGAGGACTGTACTATTAAATACCAAATATTTAATAAGAGGACACTTGGTTTTATTTGTGCACATGCACGCATGCACACAGGCATGTACACACACAAACACACACACACATACACGCACAAGCGTGCACGTCAGAAGAGAACAGGGAATGCCTGCTGTCTCTCTCCAGCATGTTTTTTTTGGGGGGGGGGGTCCAGATCTTTCTCAGTCTGCAGCTCACTATTTTCCAGCTAAGCTGGCTGGCCAGGAGTATTAGTCAATCCTCTTGTTTATGTCCTTGACCCAGGCACTGAGACTACAGATGCATGCAGATAACACCCAGCTTTTATATGTTGTTGGGGGTCTGAATTTAAGGTCCTTGTGCTTGAACAAAAAGTACCCTTACCCATTGAGTCATCTTCTTATCCTTACTATTTTTTTGTTTTGCTTTAACTTTTAGTTGTTCGGTTGGATGTTGGATCTGAGTAATGGGAACATAAGCAATTCTGTGTACCCTTGCACATATTTGAAAGGGCTTATTTTTAATTTACTAAAATAATGTTTAGAAAACTTTTTTGGGAACCTGACTGCCTATTTTTTCCCCAGCTTCTCCTGTGAACAAGTATTGGTTCAGTATTGATACCACTTCCCCAAAGATGACCCTTTGTACCTATGCACATATATGTGTAAGGAAAGTGTCATTTGCTTGTAGCCGGTAAAATCTGGCTTATTAAGCATGTGTAGTCTCAGTTACTTAGGAAAACTGAAGTAGGATCGTGAGGCTCACCTAAGCCCGAGTTCAAGTTGCCAGCATGAACAGCATGGCAAGACCACATCTCAAGCAAACAATGAGGTCTGTTTCTTTGTGATTAAATATTCTAGAGATGGTTGGATTTTTTTCTGAGTCCTTTTTTTTTACATACTAGATGGTAGGAAGTAATAGGCAAGCAGAGCTACATTAGATTACTGATGGGTCAGACAGGCTTACTAGATTTTGCTGAGAAGGATCCTAGACTTTCCTTTGGAAATTACTGCTGCTAAGACTGGGGAGATTTCTGTAAAAATAGAAGCTCATGGTGAAGATGGAGAGCGTATTCTCAATGGTCTGTAATGTAGATTATCTGCACTATTTAGCCTCCTCCATAGGAATCATTAAAAGAAGGAATAGTGTAGTGTGGTGGTACATACCTGTAATCCCAGTGCTGGGGCAGTGAGTCAGGGAGATCTCAAGTTTGAGGTCAGCCTGAACTATATAGTGTAGCCTTGAATTAAAAATAACAATAGCAACAACAAAAGAACACCTTAAAATACAGGTAGTTAATGCTTCAATAATATTGCAGTAGGGGAATGATGCTAGAAAGTTTTGGTTATGAACGTCCTGTTGGAAGTTCCCGAGGAGAAGCTGACTTATCAGGAAAAGGATCTTCAGCTATGGACTTCTTGCTTCATAGCAAACAAATGGAGCCAGAGCCTTTGTTGGTGCTCTGTTCTTAGCCCCTTTCCACCTCACCTGCCCCCGTTCCATCCAGGTTCTGAAACACCTGGATAAATGTATAAACAGCAGATGTTTAATGCACTGTGGGAAATAAACAGACAACCTAATTTGGGGACAAATTAGAATCTTCAAAGTAATTCTCTGCCACTTATGCACATTCTAGAATGCCAATAAAATCATTGAAATGATACCATTTCTTATTTTTTTTTAGGAGCAAATATCTTAAGGGATTCCACGGGCAATATCAAATTAGGAGACTTTGGGGCTAGCAAACGGCTTCAGACCATCTGTCTCTCAGGCACAGGGATGAAGTCTGTCACTGGTACACCTTATTGGATGAGTCCTGAGGTCATTAGTGGTGAAGGCTATGGCAGAAAAGCAGATATCTGGTAAGTTTGGATGTCAGATTTGCCTAGAAACTTACCTTCTTATTTCTACTCACATTTGAAATTGCCAGATTTAAATTATCCTGTGTACTTTGGAAGCAGGATATATGAATTGTAATGTCATTTCAGTTATACCTTATCAAGGCTAACTTGACTAAATACTGGAGTCTTTTTAGGAAGGATTTTGTCTTAAGCAAATCAACATGAGAAAGCTCTTATTTCCCTGAGTAACTTGTAGAGTACTCTTCATTGTCAGTGTCTTTAAAAACAAAACAAATAAACAGAAAGAATCAGTGATACCCTTTTTAAGTCACAAAGGTATATTTATAAACATGTGAAAACAGATAATAGCTACCTGTATGAGGGTGAGGCTACAAGTAATGATTGGGGTAAGAAGGGCTATGAGATTAATTGATCATGGCATACCTACTCACCCTAACTTGAATCTTGACTCCTCACCACCACCGTGGGCTGGGACATATCAGACTCTTCAAACTTTGCATTGCATGAATATTTACTTAAAAATTTAAAACTTTACAGTGAAGCAGTGCAGTTCTGAATGGGTAATTTCTGTTTATATGTTTGAAGAACAAGGAGATCTTCATTAATAGCTGATTTAGTTTTGATTGCAACATCAGATTTTCCAAGGATCTTGCATGTCAAGCGTATAATTATTTACAATAAATTGATAATTGCTTTACAGAAATAAAAACTGTTGCTGTGGTGGTGGTGTGATGTGGTATTTTCATAATATGCTTAGCTCTGTTGTTTTTGGAAAATACATTATTGGATTCTGGATGATTTAAGGTATCTGCAAGTCTTCCAGGTAAGGAAGAAGAGAAATTATGCTGGTGCCTATACCTCTGGCAAGGGCTCTGTCATGGCAGGGGCTGTGTGTTTAGTTGTTAGTGTCTTAAAAGTGAATTAATAAATTACATGATAATTTTAAGTTAGATCATACAATGGCCATTTCCTACTTCCTAACCAGAAAAATATATTCATTTTTATTTGAAGGAAATAATTTATAATACTTGTAGTCTTTGTAGGATGGAGATAAAATTATTAACATCATGTTAGAAAATGATTTAAAACAAAATAATAAACTTTTTTTGCCTAACCATACATTTGTAATCATAGATAATTATGATATATTTTCATTGAAATGTATATGTTGCTCCAGGATTTTACTGATTTTCATGTTTGAATTACAGTTTTATTTAATTAATCTTTGAATGAAACTTTGTATTTGAAATGAGTAATATTAAACTCTATGTGAACTTTTCCCAGTTTCTCATTTTCTGGTTAATCAGCTTTCTTTCCTAAAGTTATTGCTTGGGTAAAGCTTATTTATTTATTCATTCATTCATTCATTCATTTATTTATTTATTTTTTAGGAGTGTAGCATGTACTGTGGTAGAAATGCTAACTGAAAAGCCACCTTGGGCTGAATTTGAAGCAATGGCTGCCATCTTTAAGATTGCCACTCAGCCAACAAACCCGAAGCTACCACCTCATGTCTCAGACTATACTCGAGACTTTCTCAAACGGATTTTTGTAGAGGCCAAACTGCGACCATCAGCCGAGGAGCTCTTGCGGCACATGTTCGTGCATTATCACTAGCAGCCAGCAGCTTCTGTGCCTCCACCAGCTCCATCTTCGAGTTCACCTTCTCTCTTACTGCACTTTCCTTTTTTATAAAAATGAGAGATGGGGAGAAAAAGACAAGAGGGAAAATATTTCTCTTGATTCTTGGTTAAATTTGTTTAATAATAATAGTAAACTAAATTTTTTATATTTAATCTTTTTCTTTACAAGAACTTGAAAGTTTTTTTTAAAATTTTTATAATGTACTGATGTGGTTCAGAGATATAAAGCACTTTAGTACATAGTTGCTCTTTTTAGTACAAACAAATCATTTGGAATATATAAAGATTGTAGTCTTGCCCTGTATCACTGACATGGGAGACAAAGAGAAGAAAGTGATGTACAATTTGTAGTTTTTAGTGATAGTATTTAAATAGATCCTTATTTGTGGGGTTGAGCCTAAACTTGGGTTTAGGTAGGTACTCAACTTAAAGAATATAGGTTCCTTCTTATATCTGTATTCTAGAGCCTAACGTCTGTCTGTCAAGCTTTTTTGCTCAGTAGGACTCTTGAACAGAAGATGAGAATCTCTAAGAGGTATGTTGGTTAATCCTAGGCAATATACTAGGCAAATACACTATAGTAGATTCATGTTCCTGGAATCTATAAACCTTGAGAGATAGCTTCTTGCTTAAAGATACTGTTGTATTTGAAAGCAGGTTATGTGCAGCCAACGACTAAATTCAACTAAAACACAGATGACTGCTCATTAAACGTCTGAGCAGTAGACGAGACCACATTTGCCAGTCAGTAGGAATAATGGAAAAACAACCAAGTGTCATTCAGTATATTTTAAACGTTGTTTACTTGAGGGAAAATTTCCCAAAATGAAGGGAACTGAGAAATAATAAAATTGTGTCCCATATCTTTCTATTTCAAGCCCCTGGTTTCCCATATTTGCAGTCTTTAGCTCAAATACCCATCTGTTAAAAGCTCCTGTCATGAAATAAAACCTTGTTCTTGTGATCACAGAGTCCTAAGCCAGAGGCACCTCAGAAGAGCAAACATCAGGTAACACTGAGGGCAGTGGTGGGGAGTCAATTTTACTTCACTTGGCATTTGGCAAGGTACTACTAGCATCTAGTGGGCAGGAGTTGGGGGTGCTGCTAAACAGACTGTAGTATACAAGGACTCCCTTCTCAGAAATTATCCTGCCACAGATGGCATAAGTGCCTAGAATAAAAACCCCGTTATAAGCTGAAAGCAGCCATTCACAAATCAGTAAAAACATTTCAGAGGAAAGATGTAGGGCAAATGAGGGTCAAAAGAGTCAGGGATGAACAGCCTCATCGCAGCAGATAACAAACGGTCCTTTCACAACTGCTGATTACACTTGAATCACTAACTCTCTCACTTTAGAAATAATGAATTTGAGTATTGAACCTTTTGAATTTAGCATCTCTGTATATTCTTTCCTAAAAGTCAGTTCATCCTTCTAGGCCCAGAAAAGTACACCAAAACAAAGTGTTTACTAGCAGTGGGAAGATTAAAACACTGCCAGATATTTCCAGTGTAAGCACCTATTAGAGCCATGTCATTAAATGGAAAGACTGAGCTGGAGAGGATCCCGCTGTCTAGTAGAATTATGAGATTTAAAAAACATGAAGGTGTCAGTAATTTGGCCACTTCTAAATATTTCAGCATATTAAATCAAGTGCTAAGTAGTTTATTTTCCAAAGTCTAGACGCTAACACTCTTCCAGGAGACCCTGAATGGAATGCTTTTCATCAGAAGAGACAAAGATTCTGATTTCATTGTTGTTGTTATTATTATGTTCATTTAGATACCTTTTAAGTACTTTGCTTCTGAAGTTATTTAGATCCGGCATTAATGTATCAAGAGCCTTTCGGGCATACCCTGTAATAATTTTTGAAATTTCAGTAGTGTAAGAGTCAAAGCAGGAAATATTAGTTAACACTTCTCCTGTGCACTGTAAAGCAAAGGAAGCCCTTACAAAGATTAAACATCAGGTGCCTACCACTTCAGCAAATCTTAATCTTAAGCTAGAAACCTAATGTGTGGGTGTGTTGCAATTTCTTTATCTCTTATGAGTGAGGACATCTTTTCTACTTGAGCAAAGTCATGGTACCTGGATTGCTGGGGTTTTATTTTGTTTGTTTGTATTGTTGTTTCTTTGTCTCTAGTCTGGTTGTGATTTCCCTTAGGCTCATTTTTGGTCCGTCAGGGTAATGTGCAGTACAGAAGAGAGACAAACACTCTTCAAAAAGATACCTGCACACTGGAAATCAAAGCAATTGTTAGCTTTTTTATAGTCTTCTATTTCTTTTCTAAATTCAGTAGTAAATAGTTGTATCAGAATACTTTTGCTTTACAAGAAAAATAAAATTATAAAGACTTAAAAAAATAGATTAATAGTTTACAGAGTTATTATATGGAATATGATGTGAATTTATTTCAGACCAGTTATGAAGGTACCAAAAACACAATGAAAGTTTATATACATACATACATACATATACATGTATGTGTGTATATACATACACATACATATATATAAAAGTACAGACACACACACACACTTGTGTGTGTATAAAAGCAAATGCTCTGTGTGTGTGTGTGTGTGTGTGTGTGTGTGTGTGTGTGTGTGTGTAAAAACAAACCCTGCAAGAGCCAAAAAGCTCGAAGTAGATGATAGGGGTATGGAATGGAAAGGTCAATAGTAAATTTTTTTAAAAAAAGAAATTTTTTGAAAGGAAACAGTTTTGTCAAAGGAAGTAAAATATTACACTCCATTTTTTTTCCTGCCTAAATCTGTTTTGTGTTTTTAATGTATAACTGATTCTTTGGTACGGCAATGTTTCTTTGTGGCTGGAAAATGGCCAGACTGCTGACTTTGTGCCTTTAAATGCATTCTGCATTGCCAGTAGCAGACTTCCGGTGCTGGACCCAGATCCATTAGCAGCGTCAGATGTGCTTCCAGGAAGCACCTTCTGCTTAGGCCCTGAGAGATTCAAAGTGGCATGACAGGATTGAGTCAAGTGGAAGACATTTTGCAGTGTAAACAAAAGTAGTTGAGTAAAAGATTTGGAAAACATAACTAATACAATTTTGGATGGATTGGTATTTAAATGTATTGAAGTTTTACGTACTTTGAGGTTTTCAGAATGAATGCCTTGAACAATTTCAGCACTTTTTCTTGTTTACAAAAATATATCTCTAACTTTAGAAACATCTGTAACTATTGCCTTAGAAAGTATTAAGAGGCACAATCTACAACATGTGAGAAGTCGAATATTAATGCACATGCTGGACTATAAAAGAAATTAAAACTTTCATTCCAGAGTAAATTGAATTGACTTTCATTTGAGTCTTCTTCCTAATAGAAATTACATAAAAGTAAAAATACATCTATAGAGTAGCTTTCTGCTACTAAGTTCTGACATTGTTTAGGTCTGCTCTGTACTGTTTCTGAAATAGGGTTGCTATAAAATTCGTGAAATCGCTAAGAAAATAAAATCAAACCTGAATAGATGGGCAGATGACCCAGCATGATGCAGACTCCTTGGCTAATGGCACAGTTCATGCCAAAGGTTTTATTTGGGATCTGAGAACTTTTATATAAATTCAGCTGGAGTCAACCAGGTGTACAAATATATGTCTTATTTTAATTTGTGTTTTTGAAGTCAGGGTCCTCACTGTGTGGTTCCAGGCTGGCCTGGAACTTCATTGCTCTTCTTCCACTTCCAGGTGCTGGGAAAACAGGCATGTGCTACTATACCCAGCTTTGTCCATTTTTTAAAAAATAGGGTCAATCTTTTTCATTTTTTCCTCAATAATTGTGATATGTTATGTCATATTAAATTAATATCCTTCAGGAAGTTACAGTCGAGGATGAGTATGGGCAGTTAGTTTATGGCATACCCTAACTCTGAAAGTTTAGTAATAATGTTTAAAATGCTAGCATTTTTATATGGAATAATAAGGAAGAAATTGTTTAGGTAATTGTTGGCTATTGTAGACTCCAAAGATATTAACAAGAAGGATTAGAGTAAAACTATCCCCACATCCCAGGTTAGACAACCTCTCTGTCAGAACCTGTTCTTACTACACAACACAAACCCAGACTGTTCACCACAGTGGAATATTTATTCCTTAGCACACTGTATTGGGGTTCTCCCTGACCCTGCTGTTGTTGTTACAGTTTTAATTTGGTTTTAAGGGGGAAAAACCCCAAACTTTATTTTGGGGTGTTGAAATATCCAGAATATTTGATAGAGGTTGAACTCGCGCCAAGTGTTTATTATGCTAGATCAGATTTTTATTTTTTGAGACCCTATTGTTTTATCGTTAAATTTGGCATTTACTTTTAGATGTAACATTCATATTTATTTAACTTTAACACTGGTTCAACTTCAATGAAAAGCAATTTGTTAATTTTTAGTAGTGCCTTTTTCTCTGTATGCCTTAATTTTATTTTATATGTGTAATTGAAATTACCTAACAAAATGAAGTTTTCCAAAATCACTAGGCCTCAAGAGTTTATTTGGCCTTAGACTGTGTGTTGGTCCTTATGTGTTTCTTAATGCTTATTTCCTACTCTTACCCTTTCTACCTCCTTTAAAAAAGTTAGGAGAGAAACAGCAGCATTTATCTGATTGCAGTCTCCACTATATGTGAAGTCCTAAAATAACTGCAGAAAGGTATTCTCATTCTAAAAGACATAGTAAATTAATTTTGGGGTTGATTACTTGATTTTCAGTCATATTGGCACTGTCCAAGTTTTTGTGTATTATTATTTGGTATGATTTTCATAGAACTAGGGTTGTTGTCTTGCCCTAAAGAACTCCTTTAACAAAAGTTGAGGCAATGAGCAAGAAATCCAGGGACAGCAAATTCTAATCCTTAGTGTTTAGTATTTTGACTAATACTCTAGCTTACTGTTATGTGAAGTGCGTGGTGTGTGCGTGTGTGTGTGTGTGTGTGTGTGTGTGTGTGTGTGTGTGTTTGGAGCTGGGGCAGGGGTAGGAAGGAAGGTGTAGTTAGTTGTTCAGTTAGATCTGTCTCTGTTCTTGGAAGAACAACTGAAAATGTATGATCTACTAATTTGGGGTGAGAATAATCATCCTCAAGTAGGCATGCCAGTATATTTTCCGTAAGTAGCTAGTACAAATGATTGTTTAATAAAGGTATTTATTGTAAATTGCCAAGCTCTTAGTTGCTAAAAGTAGATTAAAATTCAATTTGTGTGCTTGTGTGTATAATAATTAGCTTATATATAATTCTTAAATAGAAAATATTCAATCTTAGATATTTCTTCATGAACTTTTTGGAATAGAAATTCTGCCAGACATTATCTAACCTAACCAGCTTCCTTAGCTTACCAAGTCATTAAAAGGAAATATTATTATACCTCTTTTTGGTTGGCTAAGGAAGGCGTGCTGTGATGTCACTCTTCCTACTTCATAGTCATCTTTAGTGTTGCTTTGACTTCTCTCATCAACTAGACAGGATGCGTTAGGAGCTGTGGAAATGCCCGGACCATCCTTCTCTCCCTTTCCATTCTCTCCATTCAGAACTGGAGATGACAAGCTTTCAGGAGAACCTAGACAGTTCTTTTGATAGAGGTACTAAGTATAGTCAAGGTTGAGCTTCAAGGGAGGAGTCATAACTCCAGTAAAGAAAAGACTAACTTGTATCCATTGCCTGTACACAGTCTTATATAATTCTTCATGTTTTTTGTGTTGTGTATTTTAATAGACAGTCATAAAGTATTAGTCATAAGGTATTGTTTCCTAACAGCAAAGACATTAAACAAGAGAATACTCCTGTCCTTCTGCCTGATGTTTGTTTGTATCTCAGTCTGTATTACCAGAATCACTTTAAACCAAAGCTTTTGTATTCCCTGCACATATAGCCAAAATGATTAGTCCTGTTAAATCTGCCCATGAGTAAACTAGTAGGAGATAAGTGGTAGAACAGATGCTAGTAGAATTTGTATGCCAATCCTTCAAGGAAAAGGACAGGTGCTCAGTGTTTGCATTTAGACATGAAGAATTTCCTTAAACTATTGTGAAGCTGTATAATACTGCAGACTTAAGTTTGTATGTGTGCCAATCTTATTAATGTCATTTGACCACTGATGTATGTAGATTTGCATTGACATCTGATTCCTCAGATTGGTAGCTTATTTTCTTTAGAGTCTCTTAACATTTATGAGCTTGTGTTTGACTTAAAGGGACATTTCGACAATGCTGTGAAGAAAAATAGGTTATAAACTAAAGTCTGCTTTGTGCCATAGACATTTTGGAACATACAGAAGCATCTGCTCTCTGTTCTTTTAGGCTTACAGAATTTGTCCCCTGCTTTGGATTTCTGAATCTTGTAATGCCAGTTGAGAAAAGTTTATAACTATTCTGAAAACCACTTGTGTTCATTTATTTGTATATTTTATAACTTCTTTAAAAAAAAACCCTGTGTAACCAGTGATTTTAGCATTAGCATTACTTAGAAGGAAAGATAAGTAACTACATGTTAAACTCTAGTAGATGCTTTGACTCCAGGATGTATTTGATAGGTTCTCATTTTTCCAAAGAGTCTTTTCCCCACCTGTAGTAAGGAGAGTAGACTGGTGGGAAGCTACAAGCCAGAAAGGCTTATGGGCAAAAAGAAGTGGGCCAAACTTCTTTAAAACAAATAATTTTGGTTCTTTTTTTGATAATTAGTAAGTAAAAGGTTTACATTTCTTCTATTGCTGTTGATTTTTAAATTTAGCCTGCATTCTAAAATATCGTAACCAAGTTAATACCAAAAAATACTTTTAATGTCTGACATCTCTTATATCTCATGTGGTTGTTTTTACTCATTGTAAATAAACTTGGATAAATTTGAAAATGAACTTTTATCTTACAAACTATGATTATCAATTTGTAAATTTACCCTTTGACTTAATGTAAATTTAAAATGTATCCATTAAATTCTCTATATTTAATGTATTATTTTCAGCAAATGTTTTTAATCTCAGTTGAATACTGAGCAGTTTATAATTATGTATAAATATTTTATGTTTCTTATCAATGTTGACTTTTTTGCACATTTTCCAAACATTTAATTTGTACACTGATTTATATGACCAATAATTGTTGAGTGTCTGAGGATCATGAGTGTGTGCATTGAACTACTGTCTTTGTGTTTGCACTTCTTCCCAGATGTAGCCCTCCGTTACTACGCTGCTACAACACTTAGTAGGACCTTCTTGCTTTTGCAAAGTTACCTTGTGTGGTTCTGTCTTTGTCGAGGAACTCAGGAGTTCAGTGTTGCGTTCTAATTTTATCCTGTATTCTGAATCAGTTCCTAGGTTGAAAGTATTCTGTTTCAAGAGATATGTGTTTGTCTAGAGATGCCCTTTTCTGTGTGTAGGCACATGTATATATCTTAGTAAATTCTTATTTTCGTTTCATTTCTACAATTTAAAGAACTTTATGATAATTAAATATATGTAAAGGATTTCTGAAAAATTATTTACTATATATATACTATATTTTCATCTGGCTGGTCAAAATTATTTTTTAAATTTTGGTTTTAACCATTTAAGCATTTGTAGTTCCAAAATCAGATACAGATTTTGCTTAGAGCTCAGTTAAAATACTCTTGCAACTAACATTCTTTTGGGGGTTGGGGTGGGGGATTGTTAAACAGTAGCAAAACACACTGTCCACAAACATGGCATTTGACCTCTCGGAGCTGTTAAAAATGTAAGAAATTAAATTGTCTTGAAGACATGTCAAGATTTTTATATGTCCATTACTTTAGGCCTGTCTGGCTTTTGTTTTTGAGTATTTCCTTTATTTCCAAGTTTTCAGGTTTTAATTTTTCTCTTACTGAGCAAAGTTAGACTGAGTGTATGAGGCAATGCATTGGCATATTGTCATTCTTCACAGTTGACTACCATTGTTAGGAATCTCAAAATACGCGGTATGTCTTTATACTGTACTGTGTGTTTTAAGCAACTGACAGAAAAAGAGTTGGAAATTAGGTTTCCCATCTGACAGTGTTTCTGTATTCAGTGTTCAATGGAAGCCTTCTAAAGTATGTGGTGTTATAAATGATCTGTGTTAGGAATAAAGCCCACGGTTGAAGTTGACTATCACTAAACTTATTAGGTTGAAAGGAACCCATGTGATTAGAACCTACCAGAAGCCAGACACAGTGTAGTATGTGCCACATTTCACACACATTTTGGGTTTGTTGTTGATTCAAAATTGTGCTTGTAAAAAATGTGTAAAATTTCTTGAGTTTTATAATTTCTATGTATTTTTCTCTTGCTGGTAAATAGCTTTTTAAAAATTTAATATAAAAGAAACCTTGTTTATATTTTGTTAGTGATAATGACTTTGTTTATATGGCAATTTGTGTATTACTGACACATCTTTATTTAGATTTGTCATGCATGAAGGCCTGCGATATTTAGTACAGTGAGACATACTTTTTCTTTCCTGTTCATCTTTGGACGGATTGTGGTACAGAGGCTTACTCTCGGTAACCTTCTGGACTACGGGATGGACATAAATGATGGCACTTTGAGTGTTAATAAAGCTGGTATTTATTCCCACTGTGATTTGTGTCTACAAATACGTTCTTGGACATAATGTGTCTATAGAAATTCCGTCTTGCTTGCTTGCTCTTTGGAACACCTAGCAGTTACCTAGAAACTCTCAGTGTCTGAGCCTGTAATGCCCATAAAACCTCTTTAGCAGATCTTCGTGGAGGTAACGATGGCTCAGACTGAATGTAGCAGTGATTAAAAACAAACAACAGGCTGAGGAGCCAGTTCAGTGGGTTAATGTGCTTGCCCCACAAGCCTGGGGACCTGAGTCCAATCCTCAGAGGTGGGGGAAAAGCCAAAGCAGGAGGGGAAGGGGATTCAGATGCCACTTCAAAAGGAAAGCTAGATGAAAGCCAGACATTCCTATTCTTAGGACAGTCCTACAGCCCTCATGAGTCTTAACTCCATTTGTGGGGTTTGGTGAGGTAGTGATTCCTCTGGCATATGGGCCAGCAGAAGAGTGAATTCCAGTTTTGTCACAATTTTGTCACACTGTATGACTCTGGATACTATCTGAGAGGGACTCTATTGCTGGGTTTTAATAAACTGAAGGGGACAGGAGACAGGAGGCTGATGAAGGTGGAGAAATGCAAAGGGAGAGATAGCTTTGTCCATGGTGGTCTGAAAGCAGATCTCAACTAAGAATAACCCTGGAGTGGGATAGTTGATCCTCAGGCCAGTGGGGAGAATCAAATTCTGGAAGCATCTGTTTATGGTTCACTGTTTTAGATGCATTTGATAGCCACAGCTGAGTTCCTCCAACAGTATGATCAATAATACTCAAGTGGCTTTGAATTTATGAAGACAGGTCCTCCATCTGGACCATTCTCAGTGCTATGCTTGCTTCCACATTCCCAGTGGATGTAGGATTCTCTCCACGAAGTCTCCAGAGGGTGAGACCTTGCTCAGCCCATAGAATGCAAAGCTGGTAGAGGCACAAAGAAAGAAAATGGCCACTGTGAAGACTGCTCTCATAGACACAGGACACATTTTTTAAAATTTACTTATTTTTTATATCGTATGCATTGGTGTTTTTTCATGGGTGTTAGGTTCCCTGGAACTGGAGTTGCAGACAGTTGTGAGCTGCCATGTGAGTACTGGAATTGAACCCGGGTCCTCTGGGGGAACAATGAGTGCTCTTAACCACTGAGCCATCTCTCCAGTCCTGTGAACACATTTTCAATATAGACTCAGTAGCAGTATAACCAAAGGAAACTAAATCCACTAATTCTGCTGACTTTTACTTCCCCATGCTTGCTTGGTGTGTGTGTGTACACCCATTAATGCAAGAGGTTGATGTCCAATGTCTTCCTCTATTACTGTCCTCATTTGCTCTTCACCTATACAGGCAGGGTCTCTCATTTAAATTCAGAGCCCAGTGATTGGGCTTGCTCCAGGAACCTACTGTCTGCTTCCTTCATGTCATCATTAGAAGCAGTTTACTCGACCCACCTGTTTTTGAATTTTGTTGTTTGTTTAGATTTATTTGTATGAATGCATGTCCACCTCATGTGTGACTGGTGCCTGCAGAGGTGAGAAGAAAGCCTTGGATCCCATGGAACTGGATGTAGGGATGGCTGTGAGCCACTATGTAGGTGTTGGGAAGCAAACCAGACCTTCTGGAAGAGCAACAAGTGCTCTCGGCCATTAAGCTATCTCTTCAGCTTTTCCATGAGTGTTCCTTAGCTCCAAATTCTGATCCTTACATCTTTGTCGCAAGTGCTTTCTCACTGTTCCATCTCCCCACAGCCCCACTTCACCTTGTTTAGTTTGCAACAGGAATTTTCACTAATTAGAGCTCACTGACGAGACTGGCAAGTAAGCCCCAAGGATTCTCCTTTCTCTGCTCCTCAGTGCCAGGACCACAGTAATCTAACATCATGCCTGCACTAACATCACACCTGTCCCGTTTATGTAGGTTCTGAAGATCCTGCATCAAGGCTTCATGCTTCTGCTCAAGTACTTTTACCCACTAACTTATCTTTCCAGCTCTCTTAAATTTTTCATTGCTTGTCCACTTTGTTAACATAATGGGTTTCATTGTAACATTTTCATACTATGGCATGCTTTATTTTCCTCCCTCTTGCCGCCTCTTTCAGGTCTCCTTCTCACACCCTTCTACCTTCTTATCTATGTTTTGTTGTTTACATCATGCCAACTGTGACATTTTATTCTGGAACAGCAAACTGACTTGCCACTTACATCTGACTTGCTGCAAATCATCTTCCAAATCTGCACTTTGTCTCAGATAGATCATTTTAGTAGCTGCTGAAACCAAACGTCTTGGATGTTACTTTTCCTTCCTCCCCCTTCCCATATTATCTCAGTCAGCAAATCCCATCCACTTCCCTTTCAAAATAAGCATAGAATGAAACCAGTCATAATTTCGTTTAGTTAGAGCTATTCTGGGACCATTCTACTGTTATTTTTGGAAGCATGTAGCATGTATATACACTGTTAGATAGCCAAGTATTTCTTTGAACTTTTCTTGCCTCCACCTTCCAGGTGTTGGGATTACAGTCATTACACACACACACACACACACACACACACACACACACACACTATTGACAATAGGTTTTGCACGCACAGACACACAGGCTGCTGACAACTGTTTTGCGCACACACAGAGACTGTTTACAATTGTTCAGTGCATACACATAGAGAGAGAGAGACACTGCTGATCAGAATTTGGTGACTCAAAGCAGCTGACCCGACCCTTTCACCCTTTCTTTTGTGTCTTGTTTTAAAACTGGACACTTGTCAAAAGCTGTGAGATCTGACCCCAGTCAATGGGGAAAAGACATAATCACCAAACTAAAAACTACGCGAACTGACTACTTGGTGTCCTTGTTAGTCCCTTTGGGTTTTCAGAAAGAATTGTCTCGCCGAGTTATTGTTCGTGTCATCCTTGGTGAGGCCCCAAGATTATTCTTTGCTTTCTGGTATAGAAAAAATTTAGCCACACCCTCTATCCAGGGCCACTCCATTTAGAATGGCACTGCCCATTTTATTTTCCTTAAACCAATGTTTAAGGAAACATTTCCCACCTCTCGCGTTTAGAATTTAATTTCCAAACACGAGGTGTGGTGGAACACGCCTGTAATCCCAGCTCATAAGGGGCCTGAGGAAACCATCCAGGTTTGTTCACTATCCTACCTTAGCGATCTAAGCAGTGGCCTCAACAAACACGAGAGCGAAGGCAGGGCATAGTGAATCACAGCACTCCAGAGGTAGAGGCAAGCAGATCTCTGAGTTGTGGGCAGCCTGGTCTACAGGGCAAGTTAGTGCACATCAGGTTCAAAACAAAACTTACAAGCGTAGGATGAACACTCCAGAGTCACTGCTCACTTTAGATTGGTTGTGGCAGTGTAGCGACGCTCTTCCGGTCCAAAGCCAGAGGTGGGATTTCCGATGGTCTGGGGTTGTACTTCCGGGTATAGACCGGAAGTTTCTCTAAAAGTTACTCTTCGGGAATTTACGCGCTGTGGAGTCCCGTGGCTCCCTGATCCTGGAGCTGTTATGGGCAAAAGAGACCGAGTAGACCGCGGTAAGGACTCCTTGTAGCGGTCCTTGTCTCAGAGTTTGCTCCGGTCTGTTGGGTCCAGGAGATGCGCTGCGGAGCCGGGTGGGAGGTGTTTGCGGATTCCGGGGATTGCGGGGATGCAGAGCGCTGGCTCAGGAGAACTTAGCGTTCCCTGTGCAGTGCGGAGGAAATAGTAGAACCTTGTTGGGTTCACTTCTGTGTCTTCTGTCGCAGACAAGAAGAAGTCCAAAAAGAGGCAATATGAGGAGGAAGAGGAAGACGAAGACGACTTGCCTGGGAACGACTCTCAGGAGGCGGTGCCCTCAGCGGCAGGGAAACAGGTGGATGAGTCCGGCACCAAAGTGGATGAGTATGGAGCCAAGGACTACAGGCAGCAGATGCCGCTGAAGGGCGACCATACTTCCAGGCCCCTCTGGGTGGTAAGCATAGCCAAAAAGTCTGGGTGGCAGCTAAATCTTGGACATTCTCACACCTCCAAAATTCAAGAGTCAGGAATGCTGCTTTCTGAAGCAGCTGGGGCTGTACGTGCACATTGGAATAGCTGTTGTGACCTGGGCGTTCGTTCTCCATTTCTCCACAGCCCACCACAAAGTGGTGAATGCCAGATAACTCAGCAGGTAAAGGCTCTTGCTGTCAAGAGTGAGACCTGAGTCTGTACCAGTACCCACATGGTAGGAGAAGAGAACCTGCTTTGGCAAGTTGTCCCCGACTTTCAACATTGGAACTGTGGCATGCGTGTACTCACACTTACACCACATACAATCAGTCAATCAATGTAGCATTTCTTTCTTTTTTAATTGATTTTTATTGAGCTCTACATTTTTCTCTGCTCCCCTACCTGCTTCTCCCCTCCCCTTCAACCCTCTCCCAAGGTCCCCATGCTCCCAATTTGCACAGGAGATCTTGTCTTTTTCTACTTCCCATGTAGATAAGATCTATGTAAGTCTCTCTTAGTGTCCGCATTATTGTCTAAGTTCTCTGGGATTGTGGTTTGTAGGCTGGCTTTCTTTGCTTTGTGTTTAAAAACCACTTATGAGTGAGTACATGTGATAATTGTCTTTCTGTGTCTGGGTTACCTCACTCAAAATGTTTTTTAGCTCCACCCATTTGCCTGTGAAATTCAAGATGTTATTTTTTTCTGCTGTGTAGTTCTCCATTGTGTAAATGTACCACATTTTCCTTATCTGTTCTTCAGTCAAGGGGCATTTAGGTTGTTTCCAGGTTCTGGCTCTGACAAACAAAGCTGCTATGAACATAGTTGAACACATGTCCTTGTGGCACGATTGAACATCCTTTGGATATATACCCAAAAGTGGTATTGCTGGGTCTTGAGGAAGGTTGTTTCCTAATTGTCTTAGCAGTCGCCACACTGACATCCAAAGGGGCTGTACCAGCTTGCACTTCCACAAGCAATAGAGGAGTATTCCCTTTTCCCCACAACCTCTCCAGCATTCTTTATTTTGTGTGTGTGGGATATGTGCACACATTGTGCAGGTATGCTCATGGGGGTGCTTCTAGAACCCTGAGGTTGATGTCAGGCCGTTTTCCTCCATCACTCGTCACCTATTTGCCCAGCTTCCTGCTTTGTCTAGACTGATTGACCTGTGACCTCTCCCCCGCTTCTTCTGCCTGTGTGCCCACCCACCTATCCCCACCTCTAACCACCAGCTCCAGATATACACATGCACTACCATTCCTGGTAGATCATACCCATGCATGACCTAAGCATGAACTCAGGTCCTCGTGCTTGCATAGCAAGCTTTTTACCCACCGTGCCATCTCCCCAACCACTGAATAGTTTGTGTTAGGTAACAATTTACTTCCTCATTTTTAAAAAAGATCTTTTAACTTCTATGTATGTCTGAGTACCTGCATGCATGTGCGCCTCATGTGTGTCTGGTTCCCGAGGAGGCCAGAAGAATGTGTCAGATCCCCTGAAACCAGACTAACGGGCTGTTATGAGCTAACTACCTGATATGACCATTGGGAATGGAACCTGGGTCTTTGCGAGAGCAGCAGTGCTCTAAACCCCTGAGCCATCCTCTTTAGCCCCTTTTCAAGTTAATGGAAGGTATGTGTTTGGTAGCTAAGTTTGCTTGACTTAAGATACATAATGTTCCACACACATTTTTATTCTAGCTGAAAGGCAATTTGAAACTATTAAGTTAGGGAAGATTTCTGTATATGGAACATTGGGAACCTTTTCTCTCTACTCTTCTGTGTCTAATTAAAGTACTAGGACCCTTACAGTTGCCTGAAGGACTGGTTTCAAGAATATCTTAGCAGTGGACAGCTTATCCTTTTTGAGAATGACATGAGAGCCTAGTGGTCTCTGCAGCCTGTTAATATCCTTGCCTGTTGTGTTCACTTGATGTTTTTAGGCTCCTGATGGCCACATTTTTCTGGAAGCCTTCTCTCCAGTTTACAAGTATGCCCAAGACTTCCTGGTGGCAATTGCAGAGCCAGTGTGCCGGCCTACTCATGTCCATGAATACAAGCTAACTGCCTACTCCCTCTACGCAGCTGTCAGTGTTGGGCTGCAGACCAGCGACATCACTGAGTACCTCAGAAAGCTCAGTAAGACTGGAGTCCCTGATGGCATCATCCAGTTTATTAAGGTGAGTTGCTAGTGATTCCAACTGTCTTCATAGTGTGGCAGTGGTGTGCTCAGGTACTGATATTGCCATCAAAACGTCTGGCTTGTATCTCCTTTGGTAACACAGTAGCTGATTGCCTAGCTGTTACTGCTTTGGATCCAGTTGTGGTTCTGACTGAGGCTATGCTTCCCATGAGTTACTCCTAGCCCTGGAATAATAATTCAGGTCCAGTCTAATAAGGGTTATTTGGAAAACCAGCTCTGAATGGTGGTGCTAGAGATCACATTTATAAGTATGTATGTACACATGTATGTATATATCTACAATTTATTTTTTGAAATCCTAACCCCAATATAACTGAATTTGGTAAAACTAAATGAGGCCATAAGAGTGAGGCCTCACAATCAGGAAGATGCTTGTCTTTATTAGGAGACATCATACAGCTGTCATAAGTCCCTTCTTCATGGGACTGTAGAGAGAAGGTGGCTCTCTACCAGTCAGGAGACCTTGTCACAGTCTCAATCATCTGGACCTGGTCCATTCATCATGAACATCTAGAACTCTGAGAAAATAAATCTTTGTATGGTGTTTTAGGTAGTGAGCTCCATTTAAGGAAGTACTTATTCAAGACCCATGGTAAGTGAATTGTACTAGGGAAAGTCAGAACTTCAGATGTTGGAGTGAGGAGGGCTCCAGGGGAGTGGCAGTTGAATCAAAGAAGCAGGACGGTGAGTAGTTTTGTTACCATTAGCGAATCTGAAAGGGCTCCACATTGGATTTTACATCTGTAAGCAGAATACCTTGCATCCACTCCCAGAGAAGCTTTGGACTCTGCAGAGTTCTCTGCTGTGTTGTTGTGACATAAAGGGTTGCCCAAGGAGAATGCACCTACTCCCTCTATGCAGCTGTCAGTGTTGGGCTGCAGACCAGCGACATCACTGAGTACCTCAGAAAGCTCAGTAAGACTGAACCAGAGCTAGGTTTAGTCTCGGTGGGAAGCTGCCTACAAAGGATGATGGCGTTGGGGCAATGCTGCGGCAGTCTGAGGGCAGCTCAAAATCTGATTGCGAGTTATCATTGCCAGCACACAAATGACAGGATTCCCTCCAGCAGATTGGGAACCTGAGAGGATTTACACTATATTCCCTGTCACCAAGAAGCTTACATTGTGCTGGGCATGGTGGCACATGCTTCTGATCTCAGCTGTCCAGGGACAAGAACTGAAAGTTCAAGGCTGGGCCGGTCGATTTATTAGAACTTGTCTCAAAATTTAAAAATAGAGGTGGAAGTGATTAAGGATGTAGCTTCATGGTCTTGAGTTCATTTGCCAAGAGACAGGGTTTCTCTATGTACCCTTAGTGGTCCTGGAACTCCCTCTGTAGATCAGCCTGGACTTGAACTCACAGAGATTGATCTGCTTCTGCCTCCCAGGTGCTGGGATTACAGGTGTGTGCCACCCCACCCAGTTGGAGGGAAGGCCTAAGCCTTTTGAGCTTACCTTGTGCAGCAGGTACTGCAGAGTACTCACTTGTGCCTGATGACTTCTGGGAGCTGAGCCTCCAGATCAGGATGGGGGCTGTGGACAAGCAGGGGAAAGTAAAATGGGAAACACAGCAGTGCTTTTTAGCAGTGTTTTATAAATAAAAACCTAGTCTTGTGAATTAGGTAGGAGGAGCTTCTTTCATCTCTAAAACAGCTCCCTTTAGGCAGATATGACGGCACATGGGATTTTCCTAAAGCAAAGTCAACTCTTCACTTGGCTGTGCTAAGGCCTGGCGTTCTGGGGACTGAGATTTGCCTGTTTGCTGATGTTCTCTCTCTTGCAGTTGTGTACTGTCAGCTATGGGAAAGTCAAGCTGGTCCTGAAGCACAATAGGTAAGAGGAGGTATGAGGCACCGCCCTCTGATGCCAGGGAGGAGGGAGGACTGTGGGTAGGGCCTGGGCTCAGGCTCTGCTTGAGACAAAAATGGAAAATTGAGAGGACTTGGGAAGGGAAAGGAGTCCCTCACCCTGTAGACTAGTTGACTTCTTCCAGCTGATAATCAAGAATTCTAGCTGGGCCTGCTGGTGCATACCTTTAATCCCAGCGCTTGGGAGGCAGAAGCAGGCTGATTTCTGAGTTTGAGGCTAGGCTGGTCTTACAGAGTGAGTTCCAGGATAGCCAGGGCTACACAGAGAAACACTGACTTAAAAACAAACAAGAAAAAAAATTCTAGAAGTTAAAATTTGCAGTGTTATTTGTCCACATACAATAGTAGTTTTTTATATAGATGTTTCAGAGAAGAGTGTTAGCAGAGCAGTGACCATACTCAGACTGTGCACATTTATGACTTGTGTTCAGCTGGACTCCTTTCCCAGTCAAACCTTCCTGCTGCTGACGGTGACTGTCACTGTCTCCTGTGGCTCTCAGCATGCTATTCTTCACTTGTAGCTACTATCTTTGATTTGACAAAGTTATGGGAAGTCATGAGACTATAATTTTCAGATCATCTAATTGAATTAGATGCAGAATGTTCTGGAAATGGTGTGCCGGTCAGTAGGGACTTCCCTCCTCCCTGCTTGTAGGTACTTTGTTGAAAGTTCCCACCCTGATGTCATCCAGCATCTTCTTCAAGACCCTGTGATCCGTGAATGTCGCTTGAGGAACGCGGAGGGGGAGGCTACGGAACTCATCACAGAGACCTTCACAAGCAAATCTGCTGTGCGTGAGCTCCTGGGTTACCTGGGGCTGGGAACTTAGGACCTCAGTTCTCCTGTAACCCGGCAATGGTAGGCTAGCCGCCCTGCTGCTGTTGCCCCTACAGCGTCAGTTCATGGCTGATAACAAGGCTTGGTGTTGTGTAGAGTCCCATACTGCCTTTCTCTTCCAGATTTCCAAGACTGCAGAAGGCAGTGGTGGGCCTTCTACCTCCCAGGTGGTAGACCCACAGGCCAAATCTGACATCCCTAAAGACCTGTTTGATTTTTATGAGCAAATGGACAAGGATGAGGAAGAGGAAGAAGAGACCCAGACAGTCTCCTTTGAAGTCAAGCAGGTTAGTGAATGCTTCCTGGATTGTTTACCAGTCCAGCCATGTGTCAGCACCCTCTACTCCGAGAGAAAGGGATCCCTGTCCGTTTCCAGTTTTGTTCTTACCAGTGTGGCCCCTGATATTCTCCTGAGGTGATTATGGTCTGAATGTCCTTCTTGAGGCTAGGAGGCTGGTTTCCACAGGATCCATTTTGGTTCTGATTAAAGTTCATTTTGAGAAGACCAGGGATGGTGCTCTGTTTGTAGAATAACTTTCCTAGTGTGTCTAAGTCCCTGGGTTCAGTCACTAGCACCATATAAACTGGGTGTGGTAGTGTATGTCTGAAATCTGAGCCTGGAAGGGCGGAGGCCAGGAGGAGTCAGCAGTTCAGGGTGATCCTTGACTGCACAGTGAATTTAAGACTGGCCTGGACTAGACGCCACTTGTCTCACAAAACCAAAGCAACAAGAAAAAAACAACCCACTAAACAAAAAAAATTGTTTTGCCCGTGTTCCTAGTTTATGCTGTTTTTCTATGCTAACCTTCTTGTTGGCAAGCAAAATCTGAAATTGTGTTCATCCAGATAAAACTCCAGATATTGATCATGAGGCCTTTTTGAATGTTGTCTTGAATGCGTTTCGGAGTTGAGATTATCAAATTTCCTCTGCTGGCTCCTAGGAAATGATCGAGGAGCTGCAGAAGCGCTGCATCTACTTAGAGTACCCTCTGCTGGCAGAATATGACTTCCGGAATGATTCTCTCAACCCTGACATCAACATTGACCTGAAGCCCACAGCCGTGCTCAGACCCTATCAGGAGAAAAGCCTGCGGAAGATGTTTGGAAATGGGCGAGCACGCTCCGGAGTCATCGTTCTTCCCTGTGGTAAGTGAGGCCTGAGTGGAGGAGGCTCCACCTTTGTCTGCTGGCTGCCTCCTGCCCTGCTTGGTGTGTCTCCCTGCTAGCACCCTGCCTGTGAATGGCGATGGTCAGACCACTTCCTGGTTCTGGACTGAACTGATATTTACTGAAGTGCTTACTTTGTGCTACCCTTAGTCAAGGCCCTGCGGGTCTATCAGAGCTCATTCAGTCGGCGGAGAATGGCTGTGAATGGCTCCGCTAAGGAACCTGCGAAGTCCTGACTAATAATGGAGGTGTCAGAGAAACCTGGAGCGTGCTGTACGGGTAGACAGCAGTGCTGGCGGTGCTGCTGGGCATGTAGCGCAGTTCCTACCCAGTGAAGTCAGTCTTGTAAAATGTAATTTGGAGGCTGCCTCTCCAGAAGTGTTGCTTGTTTCTAGATGGCTTGTGATGGATGTAAGGAAAGGCAGCAGACACACGCGTTTGCACACACGCATCCCCTTTTGTCAGACTTTACAGTTGAGTGTCAGGTCTACCTAGGTTCACAACCAGAGGCCATTACAGATTCCTCTGGGAACTCAACCTGGACACAGTTTGCAGAGATGGGCCTCTGCCTTCAGTTCTCTTCAGAAAGCTTCACGGGTCATGTCGGAGATAAAGGCAAAATCATTGAACAGTTTGATTTTTTTCATCTTAATCTTCTAATGGAAGGGGAAACTAAAGTAAGAAGTTCAAAGAATTTTGTCTTCTCTGACTTTGCCAGGCGCGTGCACACTTTGTGCTTTCCTGAGCCTTGATTGTCCTATTAGTTTAAAGCTGTCATTTGCCTACAATGTATGCTGGGTACCTGTGACCGTGGGCAAATGCTCTTCGCTCCAGCCTTCCCTTCTTTAAATCGATGGTAGCAGGAGCATCCTTCTCATTGTTGATTCTAGCATTTTACCATTTATGTGAGATACATAAAAGGAGCTGCCGAAGGACCTCCTACTGATTCTCATAAACAAGTACTAAGTGGGTCATCTCTTTATGAAGGAAGCAGCCTGAAGCAGTAAGTGCCTTACAGATATTGTCTCTGAGGATCAGTTTATGGATTTTGCCTAGATTCTGGTCCTGTTAAGCCATTCTATCTGTTCCTGACCTTTGTTTCACTCTGCTGTTGGGTAGCATCACCCTTTGGTTGCTTGTAGGTGCTGGGAAGTCCCTGGTTGGTGTGACTGCTGCGTGTACTGTCAGAAAGCGCTGCCTGGTCCTGGGCAACTCGGCTGTGTCTGTGGAGCAGTGGAAAGCCCAGTTTAAGATGTGGTCAACCATCGATGACAGCCAGATCTGCCGCTTCACCTCGGATGCCAAGGACAAGCCCATTGGCTGCTCGATTGCCATTAGCACTTATTCTATGCTGGGCCACACCACCAAAAGGTCCTGGGAGGCTGAGAGAGTGATGGAGTGGCTCAAAACCCAGGAGTGGGGCCTCATGATCCTTGACGAGGTGCACACCATTCCAGGTACGGAGGTGGAGGCTTTATGCAGATAAAAGCTGACCCACTGGGGGTTGCAGGTGACCGCTGTGTATTCTACCTACTGACTAGCAAAGCTTTGACATATCCACAAAGCCTGACGGGATGGCACTGGGAGGGGGTGTACAATCCAGAGCCTCCTCAGTCACTGGTTCCTTTCTGCACCTTCTCATTGCTGAAACTTATGGTCCTGGGAAACTGAGCCAAGAGCACTACATAACCCTTAATGATACTGTCGTGTTTCATTAAATGAAGGCTGAAGTACCAGTTGTCAGTATGTAATATAAATCCAACTTCTCCAATTGCAGGTGTATCCTTTTCTTACAACAGCGTCAGTGATACAATCTATCAATCTGCTGTAAAAGTCACCCATTTAGAGTATAATCCAGCAGGTTTTAGTAAAGTTCTAGAGTAGTGCAGCCCTCACTATGGTCCAGCTTTAGAACATCTGCATCTCTACTTTCAGTCAGTCTGCATCTTCCTCTGCATTCTCAGGCAGCCCACGCTGCGTTCTGACTCGAGATCAGTGGCTCTCAGCCTTCTTAATTCAACGACCCTTTAACACAGTTCCTCATGTTGTGGTGACCCCACAATAGTAATAGAATAAAATATTTTATTAAAATAATAAAATTATTATTACTACTACTATTTTGGAAAAAGGGTTTTTCTGTGTAGCCCTGACTGTCCTGGAACTTGCAGTGTAGACCAGGCTGGCCTCAAACTCACAGAGATCCCTCTGTCTCTGCCTTCTGAGTGCTGGGATTAAAGACATGTGCCACCACAGCCTGGCCATAAAGTTGTTTTTGTTGCTACTTCATAACTATATTTTACTGCTGTTATGCATCATAATTAAGTATCTGATGTACAGGATATCTGATATGTGGCCCCTATGAAAGGGTCATCTGACTCCAAAGGGGTCACAGCCCACAGGTTGAGAACCACTGTTCTAGGTGTACCCTTTCTGGGAGTTTTCCTATAAAAGAAACAACACAGTACTTATTTCTCTGTGTCTGTCATCTTGTGTTGTAACAGTGATGTGTTCCTTTTACTGATAGACAGTGCCCTGAGCAAATGGCTCTCTGAAGTTTTGGTGGTGGTGGTGGTGTTCTGTTGTGGTTTTGATTTTTGGAAATGTGCTCTTTCTGGTTGCCCAGGCTAGTGTCAGACTCCTGAGCTCACAGGGATCCTTTGCCTGAGCCTCCTGAGTAACTGTGACTGTTAGGTGTGAGTCTGCATGCCTGGCTAGGCAGCTCTTCTTGGGAAGAGAGATTAAGGAAGACCTCTGGTCTAAAGCAGAGATTCTTCTACTTTAGAGAGGCATTTTTTAAAATTTATTTAATTTTATTTTATGTACATTGGTGTGAAGGTGTCAGATCCCCTGGAACTGGAGTTACAGACAGTTATGAGCTGCCATGTAGGTGCTGGAAGTTGAACCCAGGTCCTCTGGGAGGGCAGCCAGTGCTCTTAACCACTGAGCCATCTTTCTAGCCTCAAGAAAGGCATTTTTACAGAGAACATTAGAACACTGAAAATTGGCTGCCCACTGTTGGTGTCTTTTTTATATAATGAGAGCTCTTCCAGGGTCTGTATATGTCTGAGGATAAGTAGAGATGTTAATAGAGGTGCTTATAGATGGTCCAGCAGAGATTGGATGTCTTTGAGAAGGGAAAACGACAAGGTACCAGCCTTATGGTAAAGAACTTGGCATGCACTGGGAGGCCATGGCACACGTCTTTAATCCCAGCACTCAGGAGGCAGAGGCAGACAGATCTCTGTGAGTTTGAGGCCAGCCTGGTCCACAAAGTGAGTTCCAGGACAGCCAGAACCATTACATAGAGAAATCCTGTCTCAAAAAACAAACAAAACAAAAAAGACCTTGGCATGCTCAGACAGTGTCCCCAGAGAAGTCCTGAGAGAGCAGTCAAGGCTGCCCTGGTGCAGGTGCCAGAGCAGCTTCAGGGCTCAAAGACCCGGGTGGAGATGTGGCTTATACCACTCCTCTCTGCGGAAGGAGCCGTCTATGGATCGGAAACAGAGTAATCTGAGCTGACTTTCAATAGGAATCACTCTTGCTACTGAGCATAAGCACTTTGGGAGCAATGAAAGGAGTAGGCTTATGAAGTCCCAAGAGAAGGCTTGAGCCAGGGAGAAGACAGTAAGATGAAGACAATCTGATTGGACAGGCCACAGAGATCCCATGAACAGGTTAGATATGAGGGCAGAAAGGAAGGCAAAATCAAGGATGAGACTAAGGCTTTGGTTTGAGTGAAGGAAGCTCAGCGGGGCAGTCATTGAAATGAGATAGCTTTGGAACCAGCATGCCGCCTACCAAGGACAGTCTGTTAGACTTTAGACATGCTGATTTGCATTGTCAGATGAATTCAGGCAGTGACCAGAACGTTAGGAAACAACATTAGCGAAGAAATTCACATGCTGTGTCTGCTCTAACAGTGTAAGCATCATTAGCCATCAGGGAAATGACGATTAAGACACAAGATGTCACTTTACTCCAAATAGAATGACTAAAATGAGAATCCTGGCATGACCAGTGCAGAGGAGGTTTTAGATCAGAGGCATTGCAGAGTTGATGGTTGCTCTGTAGAACAAATCGACATCCACTGTAAAATCACAGCATGTACACTGTTGGAAATGAGAACAGATTTATATAGAAATATCTATACTTTTCCATAGCAACTCTCGTTCATAATCTCCAAAATTCAGGGGTCATCTGGGGATGTTTAGATAAGCAGAGGACAGCACATCTGTACACCAGAACACAACTTTTTTTTTACATTTATTTTATGATAATTTAGAAAGTCAACCTTCAAGAGTATGGGTATTAGGTCTGCCAGGATTAAAGCTGATGGTATAGAAAGTTGTGTTTTAAATGAGTTTAAGATTGTTCTACAGTAGTTCCCTTGGGCTGGGTATGAAGCCTGGGAGGGCTGAGAGTGTACTAATGCATACTGCTGTTCTTAACTAAAATCTCAAATTCAGGCGTGTGGGAGCCTAGTACAGGTCATAGTGCGGTCTCTGTTCTCTGGTCTGGTTCCCAACATCACTTGTTTGTCTTTGGGTATAAAAGTGAAACCAAGCTTTGAGTTCAGGCCTTTGAGTGTATTGTGTAAGAGTTCCTGTGTTGAGCCGGGTGATGGTGGTGCCTGCTTTTAATCTCAGTACTCAGGCAGAGGCAGGTGGATCTTTGTGAGTTTGAGGTAAACCTGGTCCACTGAGTGAGTTCCGGGACAGCCAGGGCTATACAGAGAAACCCTGTCTCACAAAACAAAACAAAACACAAACAAACAACAACAACAACAGGAAGGAAGAAAGGACAGAAGAAGAAAGATTTCATACATTTGAGGCAATTCTCAGAAAAGGTGGAGTCTTTAAGAGAAGGCTTTTGGTCATGTGTATCACTGGCAGATGGGATTAATTCTGTTCTCCCGGGATCCCAGTTAGCTCCTGCAAGAGCAAGTGGTTATAAAAGAGCAAGGCTTCCAGACTCCGTGGGAGCTTTTCTGCATGTGTGATGCTGTATCTACTGTGAGGCTCTCACAAGAGTCCACACAAGTGGAGCTACCTAGTCTTGTACTTTAGTGTTCATTTTGCTCTGACAACAGAGGATGAACTAATAACACTGCAAGCCCTATTGACTGTCAGTCAAGCCCCAAGAGCTGCTATTAAATAGAGATGTAAGCAAATCAGTAAATTTTCAGACGTCCTACTTTGATTACATTGGATCCAGCAAAGCGCTTTATCTTTGAGATCTCAAAAGATAAGCTTTTCTTTTACTGGTCTTTTAAGAAGGAACCTTGTTGGGCCAATTTATTAATACTTTTGTGTTGTAATGAACTAGAAAGATAGCTCAGTTAGTACACTGCTTGCCTAACACACGCACCTCTAGGTTTGCTCCCCAGCCTCATATAGATTAAAGGCATAAACCACCACCTGGCCAGTTCTCCTGACTTATCAAGCATTTATTGAGCACTTTCCTTGTCATTAGAGATACAGAGGTACAGTTGAGACATCCCAAATGAACTGTAGACTTAGCTTTACCTAACAGTGATGCAAACTTCACCCACAGGGAGAAAGGTGATGCCATTTATGTGAAATTCAAGGAGAAGACAGACTTCTTTGACAGCAGAAGTCAGAGTGGTGGTCTCTGTTGACAGAGGGGTGATGTTGTGCTCAGTGCTCCATCTGTGACTGTGAAGGGGCCTCTCAGTACAGCGTGCCTCACTCACCTGGGGCAGTTGTGATGGCTGCCAGAAATGGCCTAGAAGATTCAGATTCGAAAAAATTCAGATCAAGTTCTCCTTTGTCCTGTTAGCTGTTCTGCCTCCCAGGCCCACAGTGTGTTGCACTTGTTGCCTGGACCTCCAATTCTCCAGTTAGGAAAGGAAAGCCTGGGATCCTTTGCTGTCACTTGTTTGGGTCAGCAGTCATTGCTCAGAGATAACCATGACATGAATGTTTTATTTGCTTGTGCCTCCTTTTGTGTTTTTGTTGTGTTTGCACATACATGTTTTCAAAAATTGTTTTTGTGTATGATACTTAAAACTGATCATTACTTAGAGTCTGTTCATTCTGTTCTTCTATGACTCTTTTGTTTGATTTGTCTTTTGGAATATCTGGCCTCTTCATCTTCCAGTTGGGTGGATTGGGAGGTCCTTCTGTCTATGTGTTGCTTTTATTGGTTAATGAATAAAGAAACTGACGTGGCCTGTTGATAGGGCAGAACTTAGGTAGGTGGGGAAAACTGGGCTGAATGCTGGGAGAAAGAAGGCAGAGTCAGAGAGAAGCCTTGGATCTTCTGCCTGAGACAGATGCTGGGAACATTACCCGGTAAGCCACTGCCATGTGGCAATGCACAGATTAATAGAAATCGGTTAAATTAATATGTAAGAGTTACCCAATAAAAAAACTAGAGCTATTGGGCCAAGCAGTGATTTAATTATTACAGTTTCTGTGTGATTTTTTTTCGGGTCTAAGTTGGCCGGGCAGCCGGGAACCAACAAGCGGCCTCCCTTCTCCAACAATTGGGTTTCTTTTTAGAGTATCATTGGCCCCATCTTTAATTATATTATAGAATAAACATGACATTCGTGTGTACTGAAGATTGAAGCCAGGGTTTCATGTTTGTGAAGTGCATGCTCTTCCACTGAGCTACACATCCAGCTCCGGAGTTAAACACTTTTTTTCCTCCTTTGGAAAAGCATGCAAGCCAGGTTTTATTGAGAAGTAGAGTAACAGCTCCCTGTGGGGTGTGAGGTGGGCTGTCCTCAAAATGTGTTGCCCAGCCCAAAACTCTTAAAAAAATTATATTTACCTCTGGGGAGAGCATGTGTATGCCATGTTCAGGGTTTGGAGGTCAGCAGGAGCTGACTCTCTCCTTCTACCATTTTGATCGCAGACTTTGAGTTCAGGTCATTAGGCCTGGCAGCAAGTGTTTTCACCTGCTAAGCCATCTCATTGGTCACCCAACTTAAAACATCTTAATCTTCCTCCAAAGTGTTAAAAGTTTTAAAAACTGTGGCCATGGAAACCTACAAATTGGAGGACCAGGGTTCAAGTCTCAGGACCCCACAAACACGCTGGATGCAAAGGTTTATCTGTAATCCGAGCTCTCCCGTCCTGTGGGAAGGCGGAAAGTGGCAGCAACAGAATCCCTGGATGCTGCTAGTCATCTAGCCTGGCACACACAGTGGTACACCGCAAAAATGGTACACTGCCTCCGACAAGGTGGAGGATGAGGTCTTCTAATGTCCACACATGTGCCGCAGCGTGTGGGTAGCTGCATTCACACGCATAAACACACCCACACCAGATTTTTAAAAAGTTGTTTCCCATTTATTGGTTTATTTGATAAAATCGGGAATTATAGGCAGGCAGTGGTGGTGCACGCCTTTAATCCCAGCACTCAGGAGGCAGAGGCAGGCGGATCTCTATGAGTTCGAGGCCAGCCTGGTCTACAAGAGCTAGTTCCAGGACCGGCTCCAAAGCTACAGAGAAACCCTGTCTTGAAAAACCACAAAAAAAAGGAGGAAGGAGGAAGAAAATGAAAGTTGCTTCTTGATGAAAGTCAGTCTCATCGGCACTGTTGGGTGTTTTGTTGTGTTGAGACGGGTCTCACTCTGTAGTCCTGGCTGTCTTGGAACTACTATATAGAACAGGCTGGCTTCAAACTCTGAACGATCCTTTTGTGTCTGCTTCCAGAGTACTGAGTCTAAAGGCATGTACCACCACTCCTGATTTAATTGGTATCTTTGTGGGAATCAGAGAAGGATGCTTAAGCAAACTAGTGACTGAACTTCATCATTCCTGTGAGCTCTGTTTGCTCTCTGGTTTAAGGGGGAATGGTAGAAGGCAGAGCAGAGCTGGCTTCCTCTCTACCCCCACATCCCAGCTTCCCTAGCTGTAACCTGGGGACAAGCTTCAGGATAAATGATTTGTGTGGCTTGAAGTCAAGTCCTATTTGCTACTGCTGTCTGGACTCTAGACAGTGTTGGTAGGAGAATTCTGGCATTTGTGAACTTGGAACTCCTTGAAGTCATTTATCCCGTGTTCTTCTTTCTATCTTTGAGCAGTTCTAAAGCCATGCTGAAACACTCTTGCTTTGTTGTTCTTGTCTGGAGCCAGAGTTCAGCTCTCTAGTCCCAGGGTCAGCCATATGGTGCGGCAGATCAGTGCCAAGCTTCAAGCTGTGTGTGGTACCTTCTCAGTGTAGGAAGTGATGATGTGAATCTTCCCTTTGTCCACAGCCAAGATGTTCCGGCGGGTGCTGACCATAGTGCAGGCCCACTGTAAGCTGGGTTTGACCGCAACCCTTGTTCGGGAAGACGACAAAATCGTTGACTTAAATTTCCTGATTGGGCCCAAGCTTTACGAAGCCAACTGGATGGAGCTGCAGAACAACGGGTACATTGCCAAAGTCCAGTGTGCTGAGGTATTTGCACTCCTGGGTGGTTTGCGAACTAAGGACTCCTCCAATGGGAGGAGTCTCCCATTCCTCATGGGCAGACAAACAGGTCAGGACCCAGTCTAAATGAGCATGCCGTACCGTAGTCCCTTGATAGGCGAGCCATGCCTCAGAGCAGAGTGCAGTGGAATCCTGTCTCCGCCATGTGGTAAAGTCAGTAAGCCAGTACAGACCATACCTCTGCACAGTTCACTCCCTGCTCCTCCTGTGACGAACTCTGGGTACTCTGTCCACCTTTGCCCTGAAGGATTGCTGCAGCAGCCTGTGTGGGCAACCACGTAAACTAATTCCAGTGCCAAAGTCCTAAGAAAATAGATTGGTCCTTGTGGTGTTATTTCTGAGGACACATTTTTCTAATACTGTTTTTTAGTGAATACTGCACGACTGTGTGCTAAAATCCATGGTCAAAGGTAAGTCTTTGAACGAATGACAAAACCATCCATCTTAGTACTTTAACATGACTGTTTCTTCACCCACTCAGAGGCCAATAATATTAAAAGTTATTATTTGAAATGGTTGTATTAATTACTGTCTTTTTCTATTTGTGGTTTTTGTTTGTTTTTCAAGACATGGTTTTACTATTTAGCCTTAGCTGGCCTGCAACATGCTATATAGTTTGTAGGCTGGCTTTAACTTACAGAGATTTGCCTGCTGTTGCCTCTACAGTTCTGAGATTAAAGATATGGCTCTATGTATTAAATTTGATTAATAGCTGTACTCTGGTTTTCCCTTCCTACCCATGGTCAATTTTTCTAAGACCCTCAGTAGATGTCAGATACTGCATAGTCTGAATCTACTGACTTAATGGCATTTGCTTTGTAACTAAGCACTTGTTATGTAATAGAGTCATAACTTTTGCTCTGTGAGGCTGACAGAAAACCAGCTGGAGTTTCCTTTTCTTCTTTACATTTTAATGGCGTCAGAATCACACTTGCTGTGGCTCTTAGCAACCTCAGCATGAGTTTTATTTTTTCTTTTCCTAAGTCAAGTACTTTCAAGTAGAGGAGGAACTTTATGGCATCTCTTTGGTGTATTTAAGCTGCCAACATCACTGCACTTGTACTTTAAGGCTATTAAGTAGTTTTCCTAAGTGAGTGTTACTTAAGTACAAGCATTGCAATACTGGGCCAGGCGGTACAGTAATTAAGATAGCGGTTCGTGAGCAGGAATTCTGTACAGTGCAGGTAAGCTAGAGCAGGAGACGATTGACAGTCTGGGCATAGCAGAATGGGTCTGCATAAGATTTCATTACTCAAGTGGTGTCAGTTTAAACTTCGTGAGTTGTGTATCTGGTGGATTTTTCCATTTAGTATTTTTAGACATTTGATTGTATGAAACTGAAGTCATGAATAAAGAATGACTATTATATTGAGATAAAAATTCACCTACCATTGTTTTTGGTTTTTTCATTAAAAAATATTTCTTGTGGTGTGTGTGTGTGTGTGTGTGTGTGTACGCACACATAGGCATACACATGCCTCAATGTGCCTGTGTAGGGTGAGGACTACTCAGATTGTATCTCTCTTACTACCTTCTAGAGTCTGAGAATCAAGCTCAGATCACTAGGCTTTGCAAGTCCAAATACCTCTGCTTGTTGAGCCATTCAAGCCACTGATAACTGAATTTTTTTCTAAGCTGATTCTGCTAAATAAACAGCATCAAAGGTCCTTAATGGTGTGATGTTTTGTTTTGCAAAATGATCCCCTTATTCCTTATTTTTATTCCTTATTCCTTATTCTTACTGTCTCAGGTTTGGTGCCCGATGTCTCCTGAGTTCTACCGGGAGTATGTGGCAATTAAAACTAAGAAGCGCATCCTGCTGTACACCATGAATCCCAACAAGTTCAGAGCCTGCCAGTTTCTGATCAAGTTCCATGAGCGGAGGAATGACAAGATTATTGTCTTTGCCGACAACGTATTTGCCTTGAAGGAATATGCCGTTAGGTTGAACAAGTAAGAGATGAAATTTTTGACTTGCCGCCAAATCCCCTTGCCATTGAGAGTATGGGGCTGCCTGTTTCTGTGACCTCTCAAGAACTCTGGGAGCTAAGGATTTCTCTTCCCTGCCCTTTCTCAGTAGCTGGCAAGACATAGGAGCCTATAGTCAGGGTCAGAGGCTAGAAGCTATAGAAAAGAGGAGTCTGATCACCCAGCACTGGACTCCAAAGGCCAGTGAGTCAGCGTTTCAGGCCAAGTGAGAACTGGGATTGGAGTTGAGACCAGATTGTATGGTCCCGGGTCAATGGGGCAAGATGGAGGGGCTAGTATCCCAGGTGTACTTGCTTTTCTCATCCCTGTGACCTGATAGACGGCTGTGGTCTGTGGTGGATGAGCCGTTTCAGGTGCCTGTTTGCCGACCCAGTCCCTGAAGGAGCCACTTTCAACTCCTTTGTGTTTACTTTTTTGTACTTTTTAGCTGATAACTTTGGGACAATTTTTGGTTTGTCATTATAGAAATTGCCTATTGACTTCTAGTGTGAGAGTTGAGGTTTAGCTTTCTTGCATATGATATTCTGCACACCTGCCTCCTAACATGGTAACAGTCCAAGCTGGGGGTTAAACCAGTAGTCAGTGTTACATTGTTCTGACTGTGCCAGCATTGTCCAAGCAGGGTTTTATAGTATGCTCTGATTGCATTTTTTTTTTAATGAACATGTTTTGTTTTTCCTGGAAATTATACTTACTTTGTTGCTTTGGCTTTCTGCATATTAATTCTTCCCCAAATTCCTTTTGTAAACATGAATCCCCTCTCAGTAGCATCATGGACCTCTCAGTTGTTTTTCTTTCCTGCTGGACTCTTGCTCCTCATTTTTCCATTCTACTCTGGCCTGTAGGGCTAGAGCTGTCCCTGCTGCCATCATGGAGCTTTCTGTAGACACACCTTATAAATCCCCAGAGCAGTTTCTTGCATTGGAGCTTCATCTCCAGTCTCAAAGCTGGGCACATGACCTGGCAGTTTGAAGGAGGGAAACTTTGTCATCTTTGAATTCTTCATTTCCTGTCTCTTACCTGTCTCCCTCTGTGTCTTAGTTAGGGTTTCTATTGCTGTGAAGAGACACCACGACCACAGCAACTTTTATAAAGGAAAACATTTAATTGGGGTGGCTTGCTTGCAGTTCAGAGGTTCCGGTCATTGTCATCATGGTGGGAGATAGTGGTGTGCAGGCAGACATGGTTCTGGAGAAGTATCTGATAGTTCTGTATCTTGCAGGCAACAGGAAGTGATCTGACACATGGGCAGTGTCTTGAGCATATGTGAGACTTCAAAGCCCGTCTCCACAGCTACACACTTCCTCCAACAAAGCCACACCCTCTAATAGTGGCACTCCCTTTGGGGGCCATTTTCTTTCAAACCACCACACTCTGGAACCCATCTTCACTTTCCAGTTCCATTCTCTTATCATCCCCATCTCCCTTCTTCCCAACATGTTTTCTTTTCTTGCCTTTGAAATAATTCTGTGGACTCTGGGCCTTGTTTATTCTTAGCTTGTGGCAAAAGCCCTGGTATGTGCCCGAGAACTTCCAGGTGTCTCTGTCTTCCCATCTTCATTGCAGTTCACTGCAGGACACTGATGCTCTGTGACAGTGGAGTGGGCAGAGGGCACAAGCAAATTCCCATCTGTGTGACCACAGGAAGGTGATTTGCCACTCTGAACCTCTTTGGCCTCTTGGTCACTTTGACCTGCACCACTTATCAAAGAGGTTGCTTGTACCTGGTGTCTCTGTGTTCACTACAAGTGAGAATCCCTTCATGGTAGGAATGGTACCTTGTTCCATTTCCATATGGGAGAAGCCTCGTTATTCAAGGGCCTGCAACTGTACAAGTTATTTTCCAGATGGATGAAGGACTTTAAAAAGGAACCCCTAAACCTGTTCTGATGAGTGTGGCTTCCCAGCATTTTCTCTAACATGATATGCAGAAAATATTAGGGTTATGCAGTGCCCTGGATCCTCACAGTGCCGGGGACAGCAGCTCACATCTGGGCTGTCCAAAGGCCCCTGTCTGAATGTGCAGCTGTTCAGACCCTGCCCAGCCTCCCCACAAATGAGAAATGTGACTGTAGGCGTACTACGGGACACAGAGCATGAGACAGAAGAAGCAACAGCGGTGCTGTGGGCCCAGGCTGTGGACAGCTACTCTAGCGCTCCTGACCTGACTTTCAGTTCCCATGTAGAAATTGGGAATCTGCAGTCTGCCTTTTGCATTGTTTTATGAAGTTTCCAGTTCAGTGGTGTGTCCAGATTACCTGGTGCTTGTCCTAGCTATTACTAAGAAGCCCCAGAAACAGGCCACCAGTATTCCCAGAAAGAAAGCAAGGGAATGGCTCCCACATGGGGAAGTAGACAGCAAGGTTGTCAGATAACCTTTCCTGTGGTGGAAAGCTGAAAACAAAAGAGACCAAGTGTTAAGGGAGAACAGCTCAGGGCTGGTTCCTTCTTGAAGGACAGACTCCAGTGTTGACATTTTCAGCTGCCCTCTGGCTAGGGTACAGCAATGTTTTCATGGTTGTTCCCACCACTTTGTAAAATCAAGGCTTCTGCTTGCTGTAGACTCTGCCTCGAGCTATAGATCCTGAGGCAGGAAGAAGCAAAGCTGAAAAGGTGCTAAAATTCATGACGCTCACAAGTTTTGTTGGTACTCAGAAGACAAGCAAGAGAATCATGAGTTTGAGCCAGCCTGGCTACATTGTAATTTCCAGACCAGCCTGCAGTACCTATGAAGCCATATCTTAAAACAAAACAATACACAACTAAACCAACCAGAAAAACCAAACAAGCAAACAAGAGAAGGAATTGTAGAGAGTGGTGAGCCTGGGCCCATACTCCAGGGGAAGAAGGGGGAGGAGGTGTTGGTGAGAAGAGAGGTCTGCAGCACTCGGTGTCACAGCTCTCTTGATGTGCCGACATGACAGGGCTTCCTCGGCTGTTAGCAGCTGGACTTTGAGGGCAAAAGGCCAGACTTCAGCAGTCCTAACGGACAAGGAATGGTGAAAAACAGAGAGGTTTATTTAGTCAGTGTGTTTTGGCAAGAGAAATAGGAAGAGGTGTCCAGTGGCCCCAGGTTCATCCACCTAAGAGTTTGATGCATTGAGACAAGGGCCAGGAGGCACACATAATTAAGCCAAGGTATGATCCAGCATCCTTGTATCAGCCTGGGTCCTACATGGTGGTCTGATAAGTTGTTAGTAGGTGTTATAGTTGGCTCCTACAGCTCACCAGTTCTAGGATACGTAGTCTTCCCATTGTAGACAATCACGCTCATATGGTGTGTGGAGGGAGTGTCTGTCCTGCCACAGGGCTTTTTTCTTCTCCAGTCCAAGGAGAACAAGAGTGTAGGACAGTAATATCTTGTACTTCATCCTTTTTGGTTGTTCTTTTTTTTTTCTTGAGTATTTTACATTTATTGAAAATCACTTATTTTCTCATAGAATATATCTTGATTACAGTTTCCCTCCCTCTTCTCCCAGGCCCCCTTCCTCTCCACATCCATTCTCTTCCTGTCTCTCATTAGAAAAGAACAGGCTTCTGAGAGAACAACCAAACATGACAAAATAAAATATAATAAGATTAAACAAAACCATGACATTCAGGCTGGACAAGTGTGCCTTCATCCTTTGCTAGGATGAGACTGTTCGGGTAGGCAGACATTCCTAAGCAACTGTCCTGGTGTCTTAGTTACTGTTCCATTGCTGTGAAAAGATGCCATGACCAAGGCAACTTATAAAAGGAGTGTTTAATTTGGACTGATGGATTCAGAGAGATACAGCTCATAATGGTGGAGCAGGAGTTGTGGTAGTAGGGACAGCTAAGTGCGCCCATCTTGATCCTCAAGCAGGAGGCAGAGGGGGCACTGAGAATGATAGGGGACTTGAAACCTCAAACCCGCCCTAGTGGTCCGCCTCCTTTGACAAGGACACAGTTCCCAGTCCTTCCCAAACAGTTCCACCAACTGGGGACCAAATATCCAAACATACGCACCTGTGGGGCCCATTCTCATTCAAACTACCACACATGTCTACGCATAGGAATTTATCCTTAAGAAAAGGACACAGGCCTGACGGTGGTGACACACACCTTTAATCCTGGCACTCTGGAGGCAAAGGCAAGCAGATCTCTGTGGGTTTCAGACCAGCCTGGTCTACAAGAGCTAGTTCCAGGACAGCTAGCACTGGTATACAGAAAAACCCTGTTTTGAAAAAAAAAAAAAAAAAAGGAGAAAGAAAGAGGACACAAACACAAAATGCAAGCAAAGTTGCCAAGGTTGCACCCTGCTTTAGTTACCTTGTGAGCCCAAGTAAATAGTCAGTGCTTTTTCCAAAAATGTTTTTTTTTTAATTTTTTCTTTCTTTCTTTTTTCTTTCTGTTTTTCGAGACAGAATTTTTCTGTAGCTTTGGGGCCTGTCCTGGAACTAGCTTTGTAGACTAGGCTGGCCTCGAACTCACAAAGATCTGCCTGTCTCTGCCTCCTGAGTGCTGGGATTAAAGGTGTGCGCCACCACCGCCTGGCTCACAAAAATAGTTTCTAATCGCCATGTGTGATCCTGTGTTGTTTCTAAAACCCCTTGTTCTTCTCTAGACCTTACATCTATGGGCCCACGTCCCAGGGAGAGAGGATGCAGATTCTCCAGAACTTCAAGCACAACCCCAAAATCAACACCATCTTCATCTCCAAGGTATGTGGCACTGGGTGGTGGGCACACGAGGTGCATCTGAGCTCCTGGACAGGGTTCATGCCTGCTGAAGGCCTCCTGTGCTTGCTCTCCTGGCCCAGGATGACAGTTAGGGAGTGGCAGCTCTGGGAAGTGTGAAAAGTAACGGAGAGTTCTTATGTCTTGCAGGTTATCTATAGGGACATTTTGCTCCTCAGGTTTGTCCCACCTCTCCCTGGGAAGTAGAGATTTAAATTGTTTTTCCTTTATAGAAGGCACTAATGTGTGCTACCTACTGTGGCAAAAGCAGGTATTTGGTTGACGCTTCCTTTTTGGAGCTGGAGATGCTGGATTTTAGGAAGCTTCTGTCCTGGTCCTGATGTGTCCTGATGTGCCTTGATGGTGGGTGGCTAGTGCCACAGTGAACTTGGTAGACCAAGCTTCAGGGTGGTGTCACTGTCCCCATGTGATCCAGGGTTTTTCTTCTGTTTGTTTATTATATTCTGGTTTCTAGCACTTGCTTTCTTGGAATTCACTCTGTAGACCAGGCTGGCCTCTGCCTTCTAAGCACTGGGATTAAAGGCGTACACCACCCCTCCTTCCCTTCCTCCCTCCCTCCCTCCTTCCCTTCCTGTCTTTGTTTGTTTGTTTGTTTGTTTATTTATTTAGCTGTTGTTGTTTTGGATTTTTGAGACTCACTTGACTCACTCTCTAGACCAAGGTGGCCTCAAACACAGAGATCTTCCTGCCTCTGAAGTGATGGGATTAAAGGATTGTGCCACCACTGTCTGACCCAGTGGTGTAAAACAAGTCTTTTTAACCTTTTTTCCACTCGTGATCTCTTTTCACCCAAGACATTTTTATGTGTGTGAAAGGTCTGGGACTTGGGTTTTAGCAGAGACTGCAGTGGATGTTCTTTTGTTTGTTAGGAGAGCCCCTACATAATGGGCACACACATAGATGGCAGCAGCATGGCAGGGTGGGAGTCCGGGAAGTTCAGTTAGCTGGCTCAAGTTTTTAGAGTCTGACATCCTGAAGTCTGTGCACTTTTTTGGGGAAGTACGAATGGCACCTGTCACTGCCCTGGAATCTGGGTTTCTGGTTTACAAACTCATGAGCACAGACGAATCTGTCTCTGTAGCAGCCAGGACCCCAGAACCAGCTACAGCAGTGGAGACTGTCGTTAAAGGCGAAAGGGAATTCTCCCATCAGTGTGGTGGACTTGCTTGCTGCTTTTACTGAAGATTAGATCTCAGCAGACACCGCAGGATATAGAAGATTCTATTGTAGGCTGTAGAACATTGTCAGTGTTTTTCAGAGTTGATGCTGAGAATGCAGTTTTGCATAAATACATAGTTCAAAACAGCGGAAGTATGCTTGGGGCCATTTCAGAAATTGTTGGAAATTCTGTTCTAATCCCAAGCCCAAATTTACTGAATGATTTTCTTTTAATGAAATTCAGGAGTTAACCATTAAAACAACAGTTTTTAAAATTAAGCATTCTAACACAAAGATGTACTAATTCAACACTCACGTGCTTAGGGATGATTGTAGGAAAATACCAAAGCCTTTGTTTTCCGTAATTACACCATCGTAGAAGAGCAGAGAAGTTTGTACGCACAGTTGAGGTTTTCAGCAACTTTTGTTTGTGTTGCAAGGTGAGGACAAGCACAGAGCGCAGTGTGTGTGTTGTGTGTTTGGAACCGAGGCTGTCTGTAGTGAGAGTGTGCACTTGATAAACACTCAGGAACCTTTAAAATTGTTAATCCTACCTGTTCACTCATTTATTTGGGAGAGGGGTGCCACAAGTTTGCCATATTGTATGTGGAGGTCCGAGGACAACCTGTGGGAATTGCTTCTTCCCTTTTGCTCCTTGGGTCCCAGGGATTGAAACGAGGTCTCCAGGCTGGGAGGCAAGCACCTCAGACACCATAACCCATAGTTTCAGAAGCTGCCATTTAGATTCGGGTGAAGAAGGAACTAAAGTCTAGAGGACAGGCATATTTCCAGTCTGGTGGTCGTGGCCGGGAACGCTCTTCCTGTTTGTGGCTGGGGACCTCTCTGGGCTGAGACCCAGCTGAGGAGCTCGTGCTCATGAGGTCTGTGTGCGTGGTACCCTTCATTGTCTTGTCCCTCCTGTGCTGCTGCAGTTGTCGCCAAGTAAGATAGGTTTTATACAGACCCATTTCTGCAGCACAAAGAGAAAAATTGAGGCTGGGTTCTGGAGAGGTCACTCTGAGGCCCACTGTGTCCCCACTGTCTGCAGTGGCAGGCCCTTGACAAGAGGAAAAGAGGATGTTTCTCCGAATTATTCCCAACACTAACTTCGAGTCTCACTCAGGGATGGATAGGGAGGTTGCTTAGTGGGAGAGCACATGCTTGGCTGAAGCCCTAATTGCAGTCCCAGAATACAGAAATTTAAAACTTAAATCTGGACTAGTTGATGGTCTTTTGTTCTTACCGTTCCCTATATAAAACTGCTTATTTCTGCAGGTCGGTGACACATCCTTCGATCTGCCAGAAGCGAACGTCCTCATTCAGATCTCCTCCCACGGTGGCTCCAGACGGCAGGAAGCCCAGAGACTGGGGCGCGTACTCCGAGCCAAAAAAGGTAAAGGCCGCCTTTCGTCTGCTGCCTCGGGCAGTTAGGAAGAGTGGGGGGGAGCTGCTGGTGTCCAGTCAGTGAGCTCTTTGCTTCGAGCTGGGAGACCTTGATGGGAAGGACCCGAAGCAGAGCTCAGAGCCGAGAATCTTCATTACTTCTCATGCCACAGGGGTCCATGTTCTCCATGGTACCTTTAAATGGCTTTTATTTTATTTTTATTTTTGGTTTTTCAAGACAGAGTTAGCTTTGGAGACTGTCCTGGAACTCATTCTGTAGACCAGGCTGACCTTGAACTCACAGAGATCTGCCTCCCTTTGCCTCCCAAATGATTGAAGGCCTGCGCCAGCACACCTGGCTTGATGACTGTTTTTACTAGTAACTTCAGCTCCACTGGATCGTAACACCCACTTCTGGTCTTTTTAAGTGCATACATGTGGCATCTACTCACACAGACATGCAAACATACATGTCAAATCAGAAATAAAGTCTAAAGTTGAATGCTGTTCTGGCCTCCACACTGTGGTCCTCTCGTGACAGCTGTCTCTCCGTTCCCACTCTCGCTGCAGTTCTTCGGGCTTTAAGGGAAGCCTCTTCTTCCCTTTAAGGCCTCCTGTTCCTACCACCGTGTATTGTAGTGTTTCTGTCTGATTGCTTTCCTTCCACCATACCATGCCAGGGTCTCTAACCTGAAAAACCTCTGATGCACGCCTCTCAAGACAGCTAGGCCGAGGAGCACGCATTGAGACGCAATCATGGCCTGAGGCTCTCTCATTGTACTAAACCTCATTTCTGAAAGGAACTTGCGTGTTTGCTTTCCTTTGCAGACCAATCGCTGTGGCCTTTGATGGTTCTTTTAACAGGTTTCCGGGATCAAACTCGGATACCAAGCTGGGCAACGTGTGCCGTTATCCACTTTACCATCTTCTTGTCCTCTTTGTTTCTTTTTAATTTGTTTTTAGGTTTGCCATGCTGGGGATTAAACCCAGGCCCTCTTTAAGCTAGGGCAAATTTCCTGCTGCCGAGCAACGTCCTCAGCCCTTTCCTCCCCTCACTTGATGGTGATCTTCAGAGCAGACGGAATGTTAATTTTGATGGCATTCCCTGCAGTCAGAGCGATCACACACTGGGTAAAGAGCTTGCCCACTGCAGTGCTGGCGTCTAGCTGGGACCCCGTGTTTCAGGCTAATGTGGATTTCATCTCACCTTCTTTTCTGTAGGGATGGTTGCGGAGGAATACAATGCCTTTTTCTACTCGCTGGTGTCCCAGGATACACAGGAAATGGCTTATTCTACCAAGCGACAGAGATTTTTAGTAGACCAAGGTTACAGCTTTAAGGTATGTGTTTGTTTACTTTTGGTTAGACTTTGACAAAGATGGGGGCACCAGCCTGGGACAACACTCATGCAGCCTTCTTGCTCTTTCGTCTCTGTGAATTGCTGGGGAAACACCGTACTGATAGTCCTGAGGTACCAAAGCCCTGCAGTCACTGAGAATCTGAACACCCGGGGTTCCTTCTTGGATGTGCCCTCCAGGTGGCTTGGAGATGTCTTCCGTAGCTGGAGAGGCCTGATCCAAGGTTCTGTTCATGAGGGATGAATGGAATGTCTTTAGAAGCAGAGAAGAAAACCCCTACTGCGGCCTACTAATAGGCTGTCGTCAAGATGCCACGCTCCAGGTTCTTAGTTTACAAAGATTATACCTGGGTCTCTGTGTTAGGCTCTCTAAATGAATGGAGCTGATGTGATAGATGTGTTTATCAAAGGGGAGTTCATTAGATTGGCTTGCTCTGTGAGGTCTGGGTAGTTCAGTCACGACTGCCTCACACTGGAGATAAAGCTGGGTGTCTCAGCGGGCTCAGTCTGGCCTGGTTATTTAGTGCTGACTGCAGAAGTGGGACAGATGGGTTGGACAGGGAGAGCGAGGGCAGCAGGCCAAGCAAGTTCCCCTTCCATGCCCTTTGCTCTGAGCTGGCACTAGAAGGTCTGCGTCTTCTGGATTTAGTGTGGATCTTCCGGCTTCAAATAATCTTAGGTCTCTCACTGAGCACCCAGCAGCTTGCTTCTAGTTCATTCCGGATGTAGTCGAGTTGACAGCCAAGATGAGCCGTGTCAGGTGCCCCGTGTCAGCTTGACACTCAGTCACATCTCCTTGTGTCACGCTGAAGTTCCAAAGGAGTGACTCCACCTAACATGATCAGCCGCCCGTGTGTGACCACATACAGCACACATTGTGTCTTTTTTTTTTTAATAGATGGCAGTCCCTTTAGGAATGCTCTTTTTCAGTGTTCATGACAAATGTCCTGATACAGATTTGTAGCTCTTAACCACTGCTGTTATCTCAGATGATAAGTAAACAAAGAACGAAAATATCAATATCCGCTTACAGTGTGTGTCTGCTCTTAAAATAGGGCAGAGGCAGCCACTATTCAGATGTATTTTCACTGGTCTCTTCAAGCATGGGTGAGATTTCCATTATTAGCCTTCAATAGAACAGCTCTGCCACACTTCTTTAGCTGTGAAGTGAGTTCCTTGGTCAGAGTTAATGCAAACAGGCCAGCCATTAGGTTCCTACCTTGACTTCCCTCAGTAGTGGACTGTGGCCTGGAACGTAAGGCAGATAAACCCATCCTCCCCCACGGCTGCTTTAAGTCAGGGGGTTTATCAAAGCAACAGACATGAGACTAGGAGGACATTTTGCTTCTGAGAGAAAATCTGGTCAATTGTTTTTAAATTTTTGCTATGAGTATTTTGCTTGCATGTATGTCTATGTACCATATGTGTGCCTAGTGCCCACAGGGGCAAGAAGAGGGTTTTGGGTTCCCTGGAATGGAGTTATAGATGGTTATGAGCCACCATGTGAGTGTTGGGGACTGAGTCCAGGTCCTCTGGAAGAACAGCCTGTGTTCTTGTCTCCTGAGCTGTCTCTAGTCCTGGTCAGTAAATTCTTTACATCCTGTATGAATAAAGTACTCCTTGCTGGAAGGCCAGGTGCCAGGTAGTGAGTGGTTGGAGTGCATGTACCTGCATGAACCTTTCCATGTTTTCCTGCCCTTCCTGGTTCAGAGATTCTTCTTGTGGTATGCCATTGGAGTGCCTAGTCTCTGTCTTAACCAGTAGTCAAGCTCTGGTTGGACCAGTGGAGGTGGGAAGAGGTGACCAGGAGCAGGTGCAGTGGGATTTGGAGGTGAGCACAACAGTGTCTGCCGTTACTCCTGTAGGTGATCACAAAGCTCGCTGGCATGGAGGAAGAAGAGTTGTCATTCTCCACCAAAGAGGAGCAGCAGCAGCTCCTGCAGAAGGTCCTGGCGGCCTCTGATCTGGACGCAGAGGAAGAGGTGGTGGCTGGAGAGTTTGGCTCTAGATCTGGCCAGGTGAGTGGAGGGAGAGGGGTCCTTCTGGAGGAAAGCCACTGTATGTGGGCACATGTGTATATACATAATATGCTCACACGTGCACACACATACACAGCCTGTGAGCATGTGAGCAAGTAGGATTGGGGGAAAGCTAAAAATTCTGAAGAAACAGCCCCATTATTTTTTAATGTGGGTCTCCTGTAAATGTATCATCAGATAGAGGGGCTTACTGCAGCTGTGACTGGGATCCTGTCTGTCCATACAACAGCCTGGTAACTGGGGCCCAGGATGGCAGTCCTGCAGCCTCTCAAGCTAGTGAGTGCTATATCCTTTGCTCTGGGGTTTCCTGGCTCACCCTGCTTTCCTCCTCAGTGAGAGAGCTCAGCCTTCAAGATGAGTCTTGATTCAAACCATAGTTTCAGTGCATGGGAAACCTTAGAGTTCTCTAAAAAGACTTTGCACACATTAGTAAGTACCCTCTGGGCCCAGGCGTGAGCACACAGTGTAGTCAGTGAGTGTATCATGAGGAGGAGTCTGGCCCTCCAAGGAAGGGAATACAACTGAATCACCTGCTGCAGGAATTCCCATTTCCGAAATCAGGGATAGTGAAGCCAACAGGGAAGCGTTAGTGAGAGCATGATGGGAAGGAAGCAGCGGCTGCCACTTGGGCAGGTGCTAGCAAGGCCCAGCCGACCTTTCTCATGCTAGGCAGTCTGAGTGTTAGTCCAGGGTTGTCAAGGTGACCTTTGGATGTTAGTCCAGGTGACCCTGAAATGAGCCTGCGGGGACATGGGGTGAGTTCTCAGGTGCCTGTGCAAATTGGCTCTGGGCCAGACCCCTGGCCTTTGTGGTTGCTGTTCACACCCATCTTTGTTTTTGAGGTAGGTGTCACTGTGTAACTGTCTGGCCTGGAGCTCAGAGAGATCTTCTGCCTCTGCTTCTCCAGTGCTGGGATTAAAGTTGTGCCTCCCTCCCCAGCTCCACCCCCAGCTCTGGAGCAGAATTGGCCACCCCTATTTTACAGACACTCAAAATTTGCCCATGGCTTTGGAGCTGAGTCAAGCCAGGATTTCCTGGCTTTCCCATTGGTTCCACAGCCTTGCATCAAGTCTTAGGAGATTTTAAGAGACTCCCGCCCTAACTTTCTTTTTATTTATTTATTTAATGTATGTGGGTGTTTTGCTTGCATGTGTGTCTGTGTACCACATGTGGGTCTGGTGCCCTTGGAGGCCAGAAGAAGACATTGGGTCCCTTGGAATCAGAGGTACAGACAGTTGGGAGCTTCCAGTGGGTGCTGGAATTCAACCCCTAGTCTGGAAGAGCAGCCAGTGCTCTTAACTGCCGAGCCACCTCTCCAGTCCCAGTCCACCCTAACTTTAAGATTCTGTGCAGGGACCGCAGGATGTGCCTCGGTGACAGAATGTCTGTCTGCAGTGCCAGACCCTGGCTTCTGCCCTCAGAACCACAAAAGAAAGAAAAGCTGTCACTAAGGGAGCCGCTGTGCTGCTCTGTCCCGCCGGTGCCCGGGCAGTGTTCTAGGAGCGTCAGCTGGCTCAGCTGACGCTCTGTGCCTCGGTTTCCTGTTCTGTAGGTTAAGACTGTTACTGTTGCAGGGTCGGGGGAATTAGTATATATGCAGTGCCTAAGACACAAAGTGGAAGGCAGAAGGCTGTTTTAAAATTTACTATGTGTATCTGTGTGCATAAGCGTGTGTGTGATTGGGGCTTCAGCTTAGTTGTAGAGTGCTTACCTAGCATGCAGAAGGCATTGGGTTCTATTTCCAACATCATCACGTGTGTAAACACACACACACACACACACACACACACAACTGAATATGATTATGGATGTTGTAAGAGGGTCTTTCCTTTGGTGATTAACCTTCGCCTGGTGTCTTCCTCTTCCGCACAGGCATCCCGATGCTTTGGCACCATGAGTTCCATGTCTGGGGCAGATGACACTGTGTATATGGAATACCACTCTTCCCGAAGCAAAGTTCCCACCAAGCACGTGCACCCACTTTTCAAACGCTTTAGGAAGTGACACCCACCCTGCTACTCAGTTGAAGACTGGCTGCCTGGATCAGGGTTGGAAAAAAGAGACTTCTCAGACTTTCTCTCCAAGTCTATGTACTCTCCTACTGTTGATCTAATGCAACACCTATTGACCGACTGCTGAGAAACTATCAGTGTTACGGCTTTGGCACAGCCTTCGTGGGTTGCCCAAACTTTAAGAAGGAAAGAAAGACTTTTTTTGTTTGTTTGTTTCATACTTTTTGAGAGTGGATCATTTCTGTATATAAAAGGTATACCATTTAAGGCGCATTTGTCTTTATTCTGCTGAATAAATTTAAAAACGGAATTGGTGGGCCCTGGGGCTGGAAGGAGAAGTGGACACATGTTCCCATTCTTGGCCAGAAGCCAGCTCCAGCTGACAGCCACTTGCAAATGAAAAGTTAGTGACAGTCTGGGGAAACAGACTCCTCCTAAGGGTAGGCCCATGCCCAGCAGTAAGATGGCCAACAGGAAATGAACTCAATGGCATCCTCAGAGGTTCCCTGTCTCATAATTATGTCTCAGGGCTTTCCTTTCTGTAGTATTAAAAAAAAAATGGAATTTAAGCTCTGTATAAGTCAGAGTTCTCTAAAGAAACTGAACTGATAGAAATTGATTAAGCTAACTTTCTTTGAAATATTAACAACCTGAGAGGTTTTAATATTCTGCACCTGAGAGTCTGAGGACTCGGTGGTGGTCGCTCAGTCCGTGAGGCTCAGTGCCTCAGCATCTCAATCTGGAGCTAAAACTGTGTGGGAGGGTCCTGGGTAGCTGCTGGTTCGTAGGGATGGATGCCTGCAAACGCTGGTTTGGATCTCAGCAAAGGAATCTGCAGCATCGGTAAAGAAGGCTGGTGGCAGGAGGGAAGGTCCAGCCAGCAAAGGGTGAGTGACCCTCCCTCCATTGGCAACCACACCCTCTGTTAGATCCAGGCCACAGCAGATGGAGCCACACTTGGGGGCAGCTCCTCCCACGTGGGTCGCTTCATTTGCAATTCTCTACAATTGGTGCATGTAATTCAATGCAAGCCGACCCTACAGGCCAGTACTGCATGCTTAGTATTGATCATGAATTTGAGAGGATCTAAACCCACCTAGGAGGGCTGGAAAGATGGCTCAGCCGTTAAAGACTGGGCTCACAACCAAAACTATAAAATCACCGAGGACACATCCATGGGTCTGTCTAAGAAGTTTCTAGATTGGGAGAATTGTGGGAAGACCCACCCCAAACACTTGCCTCCATCATATTGGCTGGGATCTTGGACTAAAATACAAAGGAAAAAGCCGGGCACCAGCATTGCTCGGCCTCTGCTTCTTGACTGTGGCAGCAATGTGAACAGCTGCCGCCTGGTCCTGCCACCAGGACTGACTGTACCCTTGAACCTGGGAGCCGAAGTAAACCCCTTCCTTAACTTGTTTAAAGGTATTTTGTCCCAGCAATGGGGAAAGTAGCCAACACAGTTCCTGAGACTGCAGTTACAACACCAGGGGCTGCTACATGCTGTCCGTTTACTGCTGCCAAATGCTGAGGGATGCAGACACTGCCAAATGCCAGAGCTGTGAGAATTCTCTCCTCCCTGCGACTGCTATCCTGTTTTAAATTTTTAAGAACGTGTGTGTGTGTGTGTGTGTGTGTGTGTGAGCGCGCACGCGTGCACATGTATGCATGCACAAGCCAGAAGTTGATGTCAGTTGTCTTTCCTCAGCCACCCCGCCTTTTATTTTTGAGACAGCTGTCTCACTGAACCTGGAGCTCACAAGGCTAGACAGCCCCAGGGATTCAGCTGCTTCTGCCCGGCACCCAACACTGGGGTTATAAGCGTGCACTGCCATGCTCAGCTTTTTAATATAGGCTCTGAGGCTCAAACAGGTCCTCCTGCTGCAGGGTAGGTGCTGTCTTTTGCTGCATTCAGGTTCTTTTCTAAGGAGCGTTGCCTAACTTGAGCTCTCAACGTTTAAGGTTTTATAAACCTTAAACCTTATAAGTTTTTATAGTTTTATCTATTATATTTCATCTTCTGATCTATCATGAGTTAATTGTTTTTCAGTGCCGGGTGTTGAACCCAAGGCATTGGACATGTTAGATAAGTGTTCTATCATTGAGCCATATCTTCAGGTCTTGAGTTACTTACTGTATAGTGGATGGGGTAAAGTCCTATTCCATTCTTATGTGCGTATATCTAGTTGTACCAGTTACGTAAGGTATTCTTTCATTTCAAATTGTATTGGTTCCTTTTTCAAAAAGGAGTTGACTGTGGGTCTCCAGGTTTATTTCTGAACTCTTGATCCTCTCCCACTGATGGAGATGTCTGTGCTAGTACCATACATCTTGGTTACTGAAGTGTGCTGGTTAGTTTTGTATCAGTGTGTAGTAAATTAAAGTCATCTAGGAAGAGGAAACCCAGTTGAAGAATTGCCTCCTTCAGATCGACCTGCGGGCATTTCCACAAGGGATTGCCCTGATTCACGACTGATGTGAGGAGGCCAAGCCCACTGTGAGTGGTGCCTCTCTGGGCAGACAGCCCTGGATTATGTAAGAAAGAAAACTGCGCACGTGACAGGAAGCCCAGCTGGTGAGCAATGAGCCTGCACAGTCTCTGCCGTGTCTGCTTCCAGCTCCTGCTTTGAGTTCCTGCCTCGGCTGTCCTGGATGGTGGACCGGAACCTGTAAGCCAAATAAACCCTTTCCACCCCCGGATTACTTTTGATCAGAGTGCTTATTAAAGCAATAGAAAAGCAGCCTAGGACACATACCCAGGAGGAAGGTGTGGACAAGAGGAAACCCGACTTTCAGCTTTTCAGTTCTGTTTTGCTTGTTCTGAGTCTCATTTAAATACAATTTAGAATCAGATTGTCAGTTTCCACAAAAGACACTATACTGATATGAGTTGCATTAAATCCATAGATGAGTCTGCAGTGTATTGCTGTCCTAATGATATTAAGTTCTTGTGAATGTGGGTGTCTGTTTAATGGGTCTCACAGAATCTTTTTCAACAATGTTTCATGGTTTTCACGCCCAAGTCTTAGTTCTTTCAGTAAGTTTATTTTGCATTTGATTCTCCCCCACTGCCTTGCTCTCTGTGTGTATGCATACAGAAATGCACATGTGTGCTGAGGGGCAGAGAGTATATTATAAAAACACTGGGTGTTTTTATTGCTCTCCGCTTTACTTTTTAATATTTAAAAATTTTACCTTGACAATGTCAGACATGTATAAAATGTATTTTAATCATATCAGCCCTCAGCTCTCTTCAGACCTCTACAACAAATCTCCCTCCCATTTTAATGCCTCCTCTTGTATAACCCATTGGGTTCCATTAGTGCTGCTTGTATGCAAATAAGTGTGGGTAAAAGCGTGGGCAACCTACAGAAGAGCACTCTTCTCTGGCAGCCATCCACTGCCAATAGCTCCTCCTCGGCCCCTCCCCCATCCATGATCTTGTGCGAGGCACTCTGGCTGCTGTGGCGCGGTAACCCTGGCGTGTCCACAAGACAGCATTTCGCAGCACTCCTTCCCATCCTTCAGTGCTTCCCGAGCCTTGCAGAGTGTGTACGTGTGATATAGATGTCCCATTTAGGAGTAAGCACTTAAAGTCCCTGTCTTAGTTACTGTTCTGTTGCTGTGACTCGTATGAAATAAAGCATTTAATTAGGGGCTTACAGTTTCAGAATCCATCATCATCCTGGTGGGGAACTTGACATTCAGGTAGGTGCTGGAGCCGGAGCTGAGAGCTACATCCTGATTTGCAAGCAGAGAATGGAAGAAGAGAAACAGGGCCTGACATGGGCTTTTAAAACCTCAAAGCCTACCCCGCAGTGACACACTTCCTCCAGCAAGGCCATGCTATATGAGCTTTTGGGGGACCGTTCTCATTCAGAACACCACAGTCCCTCATTCTCAATGCATTGGTCAGTCATCAGTCTTTCTATTTACTACTGCCCATTGCGAAAAGCTCTGGCCGCCACTGAAAGCAGCACTAAACTATAATATAACCATATTTACAAGGCACTCTGGCAATTTATACAGTTAGCCAAACAGTAGTAATAGCTCACCCCATAGGGTCTATGACTACCCTTGTCACAGACTTGACCAAGCTTGCCAGGCGTGGATTGCCTCCTGTGGAGCAGGCCTCAGATACAACCAGAAAGTGGCTGGTTTCCTGTTGGAGCACATGGGGCCCATGCCACTGCTCTACTAGTGGCTGCTGGTGCATCTTGCCTGGCAGTCAGTGTTGGAGCATGCAGGGCCCATCAATAGATAAGACCACTGATGACTTTTCCTCCAGTGGTCTGCATAGCATCTCACACTATGAACGCTATCCAGCATTCACCTTAGTTTCTGAGACAGGGTCTCACTGAACATGGAGCTCACAGAGACAGTTAAACTGACCAGGCAGTAAAACCTTTGTATCCTCCTGTCTTTTACCGCTCGAGTGTTGGAATTACAGAAGTATGCTGCTGGTGTGGGAAGTCCTTCTGTATATGTGTTGCTTGTATTGGTTAACGAATAGACCTGTTTCGGTCAGTGGCTTAACAGACTAGAGCTAGGCGGGGAGGGGGGAGAACTAAACTGAATGCTGGGAGAAAGATGGCAGAGTCAATGAGAAGTCAAGCAGCTGCTGCAGGAAACAGACACTGGATAGAACCTTACAAGTAGGCCACAACCATGTGGCAATACACAGATTAATAGAAATGGGTGAATATAAGAGCTAGCCAATAAAAAGCGTGAGCTAGTAGGCCAAGCAATGTTGTAATAATACAGTTTCTGTGTGGTTATTTCAGTTCTGAGCGGCCAGGAATGAATGAGCAACCTTCACCAACAGTATGGTGCCCACTGTCTGAGTGAATCCACATAAGAACTAAAAAGAGTTTAAGAAAAAAAAAGGGGGGAGGGCTTCTAGACCCAAGGAAATGGGAGTCAATTGGAGCTTGTTAGTAGTCACATATTTTTAGATAGGCTCTGCTTGCTGGTGGCAAGCAGAGACTCGGCTCCTTTAAGAGGTTCCTTGACTCAGAGTTAGTAGCTAGAACTACACAGTTTCTGTAAGGGAAGACTTCCTGGTTCATGCTAGTTACACAAACAGTTCTGGCTCTTTTGGGGGGTTGATGCCTGTCACCCACTTTGGGTCCGGATGCTTATGTGTCAGGACAAAAGTAGCCCCGAAAGCCCATGGTTTAGCACTCCCTGCCGGCAGGCAGTGGGATTGGGTCTGCTAGGCATGCACAGACAGGAGAGTATGTCAGATTCCCACCGCCATACACAGA